AATTTGCTCCTTAAACCATACAGTGACTTCATCTCTCAAGTCATGCCTGATTAACAGGGAGTTTTTTTTTAAGTGTTGTAAACAGAGAAGGAATCACATTGCTCGAATGAACTCTGCCCTTTTCAGCTGATCACTCTTGAATTAAAGAGTGCTTAACATAATCCAGCCAGAGAGTAAGGCCTGAGGAAAGGGCTGATGTGGACAGGAAGGGTGGAGCAGTCTTCATTCATCCCCCTCACAGGTGTAGCTATCAAACAGATCACAGGAGCTGTTCCTTGGTGATCTGATTTTAGAGGTTAAAACCACAGGTTTTGTTTTCCTTGATGCTTTATTTTGTTGTTTTTCAACATGACTTCAGAAAAGCCAACAAAAGGAATCTGAGAATGAGCAGCTACTTTCCCGACAATGGTCTGGAGGGGCTTGGGTTTATGGTCAGCATCTTGTATAGATCATAGAAATCAATAAATATCAGAATGTGTAAAACCAAATTACTACCTTGTGAACTACAAGACAGAGGTGCACTGATAAGAACTGTCAGCTCATGTAGGACCACAGACTATTCTAAACAAATGGCCTTAGGAAGCCGTTTCCAAGTCTAGGTGGGAACTCCCCGCGGAAAGCAGGACCAGGACAGTGTGCCTCAGGTCTACACGTGCATCTCTCTTGCATTCCCCAAACACGGGCACTTCACCAAGGCGTGGTTAGGAGAGCACACAAAAATGGGGCCTGTCCTGCAGGGGGAAGCAGGAGGGCACCCAGGCCTGTTGCTGCCCTTTGCAAGGCGGTTCCTAATTACATCATTCACTGGGGATATCGTTGGAAAAGAACATAAACATTCAACATCTTAAGGATCTTGCACAAAGCAAATGACAGTAGGTTTTATTAACATATCTTACAACGCCACTTATTCCTAGTTTTGTCATTTCTGCTTAGTTATAAAGGTTGACTTCGCTTCTACAGTAATGTACTGTATTTAAATGATCATTCACACAAGATCACACCAGTACATGGTTTTGAATATACACACATCACTCTAAATTGGACCTGTTATTTTTGAAAGTGGGTTTATAAATGGGACTTATAAAAGCTAGGGGAAATGGGAGTTCTAATTTAGCAGCATGCACGTATGGATTCAAGTACAATTTTCAACCAAGTGCTTTTTTTAAAATTTACTGGTGACTAATTCACCAATATCAAAATAAACACTATCAAATATCCAAATTTTAAAGTTAAGGCTAATATTTTCACTTCACATCCATATGCACAACCATAGACATTCCATTTGAATATGTAGTGACCAAAGTCTGAATACAGTATGCCATGTATATAGAGCATCAGAGTTCCAAACTGTACAATTATTCAAGTTCATGAGACCTGTAAGAGTATTTACTAGAGAAGCAGTCAGCATTTTTCTCCTCAACCACACTTACGAATGGTCTGGTATTCATAATGACCAATGCAAAAAAGGGAACAGGCTGAACTTTTACAGCACAGGATTGTCTGAAAGAGCTGGTGCTGGAGGACAGTGGCTCGCTGGGCAAACCACTCTAGTCTATGGTATCTCAGTACTGGAAATGGATAGAAGCACAGCAAGCCATTTCCACACAGAAGGCGCTCAGTGACCTCTTCTGTGTGTACACACTGTTCCCTCACTCTGACGCAACGCCATCCGTCACTCCATGCATGTCATTCCACAAGTTTAGAACGTGGGCCTGATGTTACTTTTTTATTTTCTCATTTGATGTAATTTATTGAGACAGGGTTTCTCTGTGTAATAGTCCTGGCTATCCTGGAACTTGCTTTGTAAAACAGGCTGGTCTCGAACTCACGGAGATCTACCCGCTTCTGCTTCCCAAAAGCTGGGATTAAAGGTGTGTGCCACCACCATTTTACTTTTACAAGTAAAAATGTAATTTCATATAACAAGCCATGGAAATCCAAAGTACCAGGAATTGCTTGATAGTACTACATATGTGAAATAATCATCAAATTATTAAATCGCCTATAAAAAAAATCTTGGAACCAATAAAACATGCTTTTCTGTCATTTTCCTTCCCTCTTACTGAGTGTATTTTAGCTCAACCATTCCCCTTCTGAACTAAAAACCCCTACTACATAAGCTGATCTTCACAGCAGTTTCTGAAAGCAGAGGCATGACTCATTCACAAGGACCAGCACCTCTGAGCCTTCTCCCTGTAGGAAACCACACAGAAATCGCAGAGATTATATTGCATGAACATAATACAGATGAGTGCTTCAGTCGGTAGGAAAGTTCCAAAAATTAAAGTTCATCTGTTGGGGTGAGGGAGCATTTTCAATCTGATCACAGAAACACAAGCTTGGTTGGTGATGAAGGTGAGCATGCACAGAATGAAAACTCTGCCATGTATACGTTCTTAACCCTTTCGATTTTATTGTAAAATCTATTTGTCACTAACAACTTTAATAGTTCATTCCACTGAAATGGCAAATTGATTTTTGAGTGTGTGTGGTGCTTAAGCTGAAACTCAGGTTCTGTGAATGTTAGCTAAGCAGTCTATCACTGAGCTAGACCCTCAGTCCCCAAGCACACACAAGCTCGGCGCCACCCCAGCGCACAGCACTCACTACAAGGACAGCAGCTATCTATTTTACAGCTAGTTCAATTATTTACCAGGGGAAAGCGTTTATGAAATTCCTGAGAATGAATTAAGTTTTCAGCAAAGCCTTAAACTTTTAACAGATTCCTCACAATAAGAAAAAATTTTAAAGTTCTACTATTAGACCAATTTTTACTATACAATATTTCACATAAATCATGTTTTACATTTTCTAATTACATACAGCAAAAACCTCAGATCAATACAAGGGTGACAAAGGAAAAGATGCATTATGTTTAGCAGATGCAAATGAAAACACGGAAAGAGCAGTAAACTTCAAAGAAATCACATCCACTCTATCAGTGAACAGCCGGTCAGGGCATTTAGGGAAAATCGTTTCTGAATGATTTTTGTGGACAAGTTGTGCTTTTTATTAATTGTGCACTTAAAAAAAATGACCACTAAAGAATGATTTAACTTATTTGTTGTCCAAATACTTGAGAAAAATTATTATACCATTAATGTGGTTACCAAGCACCTAATTTTGAAAAGGCTTCATAATGTTTTCTTTTTAATCCCTCAGCAAAGACATCAATTCCCCCAAATTAAATTAAAGCTTATTATTGATAAATCAGTATCAATGAGGATGGTAACATATGCGGTGCTGAGGTGGGGGTCACAGTCCGTTGTAGTGAGGACCCCATCTTTTATTGATGTGATCAAAAGTGTGTGCGATCCACTGCTGCTCAAGCACTCGGTACCGCTCCTCACAGATGTAGAGAGGCTTGCCTCGCCTGCAACACAGACCAGACAGAGTGTTACGTCATATAATCCGACCCGGCCTTCCTATGCACTTCTTCTTTAACATACTGTGGCAAAGATAACAGTATGATTTTATTGCATGTGGTCTGTATTTTGGATAGGAAAAATAACTCAAAGCTAGAAATAACTATTTCAATTAAGATTGTCAGACTTTGTAATATTTCAATAGTTATAATTACAAAACCAGGTGGCACATTGGTTTCTATGCTGGAGCTTCGGGAAAACCCCTGACACATCCAAGTGGGGCTGACCTAAGGTCACGGTCCTCTTCTCCATGAGCATCCAGATAGACGGAACCCCAGAGGCAGAAGCGATGGCCTCGGATGATGATAATCACTGATGCATTGATTAAAAGGAAAATTCCGGTTCCGGCTCCACAATTCTGAGAATGCTTTAAAAAAAAATGCGTTTTAAATCAAATGGCTTTTATATAAAAAAAAACAAGAACATCTTAACTAATAGTTAACAATATAAAGCTATTTAATTTTAAAATAAGATTTCATCTATTTAAAGCCATAACCCCCCAGCCCCCACAGCTCTTTAATACATTGGGAAGAGTCTGGGTAAGCATTATGTAAGAAGCAGCCATAGCTCACCTAGCTGGGGCTAGCACCCTCGGTGCATCAGTGAAGGTGTTTCCCAGCTGGTTGAAAAGTGGGCAAGAGAAAGAAGAACTGAAATTGTACTTAAGGGAGGCTTTATATCTTAAGTACAGCCTGGGTTTACCTCTGAATGCACTGTTTAACTCAGTCTGAAGAGCTGAAGCTCTCATTGCACCACACTTCCTCAAGGCTGGGTTTTACACCTCTACCACTTGCTCACCAGCACACACTCTTGGTAACCGTGCTTACCAGCACACACTCGCAGTAGCTCTGCTGCTTGCAACACAGTCCCTTCAGGCACACAAAAGTGCCACAGACAAGGCAAACAGCTGGGTCCTTGGGAACCTTGGTGCAGACACTGCAGGTTTTTCTGTGGTAGTACTGAAAGATGGTGTTATAATTCTCAGGCAACTGTAACAGGTGTGGTAATTTCCATCTTGATTCTTGGATAAGCAAAGCCTAAAACATCCAAAAACATAGTCATCAGCCCCATGTATATAGGTTACTAAAATTACATATGCAATTTTTAAAGGGATTTTATTTTAGGAAGGAAAATCTGCCTTCAAGAATGTGACTTATTTAATGAAAACCCTTCCTTTTCCATTTTACAAGCAATAAAAACAGATTTTTATTAGTCTTTATTTCTATACAGATTTTGATTATAACAGATGTAAAATTTAAGGTAAGCACCCTAAGACATTGTATTTTATAAGAGGAAAAAATTAGCATCTCTGAACATGCATGAAAATATATCTGTAAATAAAACAGTTAAACATTTTCCAGATACCAGGTCTTGACTCTTAAGCTTTTCCTTAGCAGAAGTCATGATTCCTATTTTAATGCTTTACATGAGCTCTCCTTCCTAGAATAGTTCACATTCACAAACTTTAGGCTGTCAAGGTCACTTGTAACTGTAAGTACCAGCCTTTAACTCTTTGAATAAACTTCCTATTTGCATTCCTGTATGAAAAATCCAAGTTAGTTAAAGCTTCCTGCAGGGCAAACTTTATTTCCGACCCCCAGCTGTAAAGAGGTACTAGTGGTGTGTCCTCTAGATGGTACTCCATTCACAGTGCAGTTCCATACATTTATTAGGTGACTGTTTGCGTTAAGGCTTCACCACAGCCCCTAGCATCCACATATCCAAAGAGTCTGGAATGTTTGGGTGGAAATTCCATCCCAAACAACTCCGGGAGTTGCTTCAATACAGACTCTACCTCTGAGAAAGCAAGCCAAATGGTGACCCCTCCCCAGAGATGCTCAAGACCATTCCCAGAGGGTATTTAAACTGACACCCAGAGAACAAACAAGTGGTTTTCTGGTCTGGGAACGCTGGTGTTCATTAAACCTGGGCTTTTTCTAATTCGGTTTGATTTGGTCTGATTCGGATAATCGCTTCAGCAGAGAGGTTTATCCGGATGCAAAAACTTTTCAGTGACTAATTTCTATAAGACACTTTCTAGAGAATGGGAAATTTAAAGAAAAATAAGAATTTTTGTTCTGTGAAGTCTTCATTAGGATACATTAAAGAGCCGGACAGTGGTGGCCCTCGCCTTTAATCCCAGAATTTGGGAGGCAGAGGAAGGTGGATCTCTATGAGTTCTAGGACAGTCAAGGCTACAAAGAGAAACCCTGTTTCCAAAAGCAAAGAAACGAATATGCATTAAAGAAACAAATGTGATAAACAGAAGCTGAGCTCAGTGGCACTTGGGGATTCAGGGTTAATCACACTTGAGGCCTTGGGTTGAATCTTTCCCACAAACACAACAATATCAGACACAGCACAAGAGATGAAGGAGGTGAGGGATATGAAGATGGACCAGCAGACAATCTTGAAGGAAGAGGCAAAGCCTCAAAAGGCGACAGATTCAAAAGAAGGATAGTAGGGCTGCCTGAGACAGAAGCAGAAGTAATGGGCAAATTTATGGAGTTTTAAAGTCTGAAACACACTTAAAACTCTTTTGTGTCAAATCTGAGCAAGGTAGCAAAGGAGTGGTAAAGTAACAATGGAAACACAAGCAGAACAGTGATGGCCCTTAACCAAGTGTGCAGACAGCACCTAGACAAGCGGGAACATGTTCCAGGAGAGCCATCTAAGATCAGAAAGTCATGTGCATGGACTTTTGCGCTAGTTACTCTCTGACTTTTACTATCAGAAAACCAGTCTATTCTCCTCACATCTAAACAATCTCTGGTGTCTTCTCGCCTTACTGTATCCAGTAACAGGCAACAGAATTACTCTGTAGAATAATATTTTCATTATATCACTCCATTTCTCAGTACCACCAATTGTTTTTTTAAAAAGGCTGTGTAGAAACCATGGCAAAAGCAGCGAGCCCTGTTGCCTACTTCTCCACTCTCAAGTCACTGGCCAATGTTTTCACAAACCCCTTTACCAACCAACCTGGCACATAAACCCACTTTCAGAAGTTATAGACATAGTCTTTTAGTTTTCAGTTCAAATACTTTTAAACATGGAACAACAGTTTTACACTAAGAATATAATTTACTATAATTTTTTTCCTCTTTCAACACTACTGTGACAGTTGCTTAAATTATTTAATCAAAATCAACTGGCTTAACCTAAAAGTAAAAACTAATACACCTTTTTAACTGACACATTTCTGCTTTACTACTTATGAGTCAACTAATTTTACACCTCTATCAGTTTGTAGCCTGCTGCCACAGATGACCTGAAATTTGAGTATTCCCATTACCCTTTTAGCCATGAGCAAGCACTGTCACCACGGTACGTGATTCACTCTTTTTTTCTACATACCTTCCCTTGCTCTGCATGCCTCTCCGTGAACGATCTGATCTCCGAACACCACTGAGTGATAATGTCCAATGCTGTGAATGGCCAGTCCAGACATGAGGCACTGAGGAATGGGTGATCTGTTTGGTAAAAAGCTGGCAGAAGTCCCAGGCAGCTGGCAAGAACTGAAAATTCTTCTTCTTCCTTTTAGGCATGACATAGAAAATTTTCAAGATATTTTAATTTTCATCCTCACCAATTACTATGGGACAATAGAGAACTTTCTCAATTGAAAATAAGTGAAGGAAGCAGAAGTAACAACAAGGAGAGACGGTTCCTCTTTCTATTTTATCCACAGATCCTCCAAATATGTTTTCTTTAATTAGAAGTTGATTCCTATGAGTCTTAACATCTGCTGTCTTTATACAGCTGTCATATCTGATGAACAGTTTACATAAGGTAGCAACTCTATAAAAGCTCTTTAGAAAATAAAAGAGCTATTTTGAGTTCAGAAAGCATATACACTGAGCCAAGTGTAGTGGTACACTGTAATCTAACACTTGGAGGCAGAAGCAGAAATATAAACGCTCACATTTGAAGAAAGAGAAGGCAGCTTGGACTATGCCTCAAAAACCAAGGGCTGCAGATTTGGGTGGCAACTATGATTCACAAAATGAGATGTATTTCCATTTCGTGCTGCATCCACTGTGAATTCATCAGATTCAAAGTCTAGATCAAAAAGATAGGTGATTCCTTGGCTGTCATATAACTGACCATGTTTTTCAGCCTCTTCACTTGTGATTCCCTTTACTACCTTGTAGTTACACAAGTACTGCACCTCATAATTGTTTAGATTCCTTTTGGTGATTCCAATCCATTTGCACGTGAGCTTTTCTTTTTTATGTAATTCCTGAAGAGTATTAAATGAAACTGGGCAAGGCATACACCAGGCAGGGCGCATACCAGGCTCTCAGTGCCTCGGCTCCAGCCACCACCATCTTGTGGAGCTTTCATTCAAACTGGCCGGGTTTGAGCAGCTCAGCTGGCGATACCAATGCCAGGAGGTGGTGGTGCTCGCCTTTAATCCCAGCACTCGAGAGGCAGAGACAGGCAGACCTCTGTGAGTTTGAAGCCAGCCTGGTCTACAAAATGTGTTCCAGGACAGAATCCAAAGGTACACAGAGAAACCCTGTCTCAAAAAACTAAGGTCTGGGGTGGAGCTGAGTGGCAGAGTGCTTGCAGGGCTGTGTCTGCTCACCAGCCCACACACCAGGGCTGTGGTGGACTGGTTGCCAATGTAAAGATCAACAAAAACATAGAATTCACAGGAAGAAAAGCAAAATAATTTTCTCAGGCTCTCAATTCACAGAAAACAAAAGTCTGTTTTTTTTTTTTTAAAGTGTATGTGTGGTGCGGTATGTGTGTGTGTGTGTGTGGTGTTTTTTAATCCATAGAATGATCTGTCAGTTGTGAAACTCTGTTCACTAATAAAAGAAGAGAAATGAGAATGAATAACTTATATATTATTTAAGTTTGCTTGTTTTTCTTCTTTTTTATGAGATAGGATCACACTACATCACATTGGCTGACCTGGACTCTCTAAACCAGACTGACTTCAAAAGTTTTATTTTCTTTCTGAGACAATGTCTCACATATCGCAGGCTCACTTTACATTCCCTAAGTAGTCTGGTCTTCTTGCCTCTAACTCCTAAGTCCTGGGATAAAATGCCACGTCCAGTGCCAGGGACTGAACACAAGGCTCTATGCAGGCTAGGCAAGAACTCTACAACTGAGCCACACCACCAGCCCCCTTAAGCTTACTTTTAAAGATGCCTGTCAGTCTTATAAACACAAACAGAGATTACCTGGCCCTCTTTATTTAACAAAGACTGTGTTGAGGCTAGCAAATCTCTCCTTCGTATGCTGGGCCAATTCCTATCCCACTCAAAGCCCAGCTTCCCAGAGATGTAACTAAGGACACTGCCTAGCACCCAGCTTCATTCAGGAAAGAAATCAACACTTGCAGATGCTTCAATTCCTGCGTATTTGCTTTTCCACTAATAACATGAAAAATAACTTCACCTCCCTATAAGTCTAGGTCCACCAATACTTGGCATTTAGTGAACTTTTATAACTGAGCTAATTTTATGCATGAAATACAATGTGCCAAACTCTGTTGCAAGAAAAAAAATCACAATGATATGCAGGCTGAAAGTACAGATCTTCCATTTTATACAACTACACAAAGAAATGACTTTAAAAACCAGCTTTACTGAAGCATAACTTATATGCCATGAAATAACACTCATTCTAGCTGCAGTTTGGTGAATTTCATATGTGCATATATGCACCCACTGTAGCGAAAATTTTGGTCAATTCCATCACTTCTAATATTCACTCATGGATCTATGCAGTTAATCCTAGCCCTTATTCTTGGCAACTAGGCAACCACTGATGTGCTTTCTACCATCACAGCGTTGGCTTTAAATTTTTTCATAGTAAATGGAATCATACAGTATAGTCTTTTGTATCTGATACCTTTTCACTTAGAATAATTTTCAAATTCATGCATCGTGTATATCAGTTTTCCATGACCCTCACTCCCCCCCCCCCCCAAGACAGGGTCTCACTATGCAGTTCTGGCTGGTCTAGAACTCACTATGTAGAGCAAGCTGGTCTTCAACTCACAAAGATCTGCATGCCCATGCTCCCCAAGAATACTAAAAGCACGTGAGGCGGGGATAAACCCAGCAGAATGAACACCATTCTTACTCAAGCATTTGGCCTGAATTTGTACTAAATTGATCTAAAACTGCTGAACCACCCCAAATTAGCAAGGTTATCAAAAAAAAAAGTAGATGCTAATAAACACAAAGGAGTAATACTGCGGACTTCTAGTCCTTTGAGCTAGACCAGCTTACCCTGATAACACAGTTCTGCCTGCTAGAGACACAAAGATTCTACTATGAACCAATGTGACTCAGAAATTAGTTCACTGCAACAAAGTCCCTTACTCTCTACCCTGAATTATACCTGGCAACTTGGTAGATCTTCCCCGAAGAGGTGGTGCTGAAGAAGGCTGCTGATCCTGAGGAAGGGTAAACAGAAGGCCTGGATGTATTTTTCCATGGACTCGGGAGACCAAGTAATAGGACTAACCTAAAATTAAAGAAAATAGCAAGAATTCATTCTCCAATAGATGCAGCTTTTCAAAAGTTCATTCTTAGTGGCAACAAAGTCTAACTTAACACAGACATACCGTTGCGCACTCCTGGGTTCCTTCTTCACAATATAATTTCCCTTTAGACAGTTCGCTTATAACAAAGCTCAGCAGCACTTCACAAGACTTTTCTGCATCACACGTATTCTGGGAAACAAAAATCAACTTTACATTGGGAACTGAAAAAAAGTCACTGAAAGTAATCCCCTTTAATGTAGTAAAATTGTAATTACTACAATTATATTTTTTTTTCAAACACATGAATTTCATTGCTTCTAAATCCAGGTTAACTACATACTGTATTCACAAAATTGAGTAAGTGGTTAAAACTATCCCAATTATGTCTTTAAAAGATGACTGTATGCCTTTAATCCCAGCACCTGGAAGACAGAGGCAGGTGGATCTATTGAGTTCAAAGCCAGCCCGGTCTACAGAGCTAGTTCCAGGACAGGCCCCAAAGCTATAGAGAAACCCTGTCTCAAAAAACCAAATAAATAAAATGCAAAAAAAAAAAAAGACGACTGTAATATATGATATGTGTGTGTGTGTATGGGATATATGTAAAGATCACAAAAGGCCTTCTACTCCTGAGAACTCATCCTAAAGAGGAGCCCCCTGAATTGTGGAGCACTAATTTAGAGAGGTTCTTTACAGGCAACAAATACAACAAATCTGAAGGATGGAAAACTTAACAGCCTCCTGACAGTGGTACAAATCTTTTCGTATGTAATAAAAAAAAAAACACAATGTCTACAAATTCCCTAAAGAGATTTTTTAAAAGGTTTTTTTTTATTTTTTGAGATTTTTTAAAAAATTTAATGCAAAAATCTAACTGTGATAAAATATTTACCATATACTATATAAATAGCTGCATTAAATAATGGATTATAAATGAAGCTTAATAACCATTTACATTTTTATAAGAAAGAGAAAAGTTATGATTTAAAACTTTTCAATAGCTGGGCATAGTGGTGTACACTAATCTCAGCACTGAGAGGCAGAAGCAGGCGGATCTCTGTGAGTTTGAGGCCAGCCTGGTCTACAAGAGCAAGTTCCAGGACAGCCAGAGTTGTTAAATAGAGAAACAAATTTTGTCTCAAAAAACAAAACAAAAAAATTTTCAATAAAAATTTCATATCAAAGAAATATATCTTACTCATTGATATATAAATATCAATAGCATAAATATAAAATTATAATAATAATGCATAAATCAGAAGAAATATTTTTCTAGGATATTATTCTACTTATTAACTATACTTTTAAAACAAAGAATAATTGAATAAACACCAAGGAATGTAAGTGTGTTCTGAACTCTTACTGTTATTAATTAAATTTTAAATGAACTAATCCACATTCATACATGTATATAAACATACCGTCCACTCTCATCTCCACCTCCATACCATGCCTGTCAACCCTACTGAGTGAGCGGGGTTCAGGGGAGACTACCTTCCTAAGAGCTCCAGCGTGTCTCCAGGCAGACCGGTCCTCTTCACTGCCCTTCACTGAGAGTGCTGCCAGAGCCTGTGTGTAGAGCAGCGGGAAGAGCACCTTCACAATGCAGCTGAAGTGCTCTGCAACAGAAGACAACAGCACCGTTGGCTTGGAATGCCGACATCCTGAACCCAAGAAAATTTCACGCGTCTATACCTTTTCCTGCATGTGTAATTTTTCAGCATTTATGCAGTTAATAACACAAAATTATATGTGCTATACTCCTTTTATTGTTGCTGTGACGAACTTTAATGACACAACGACTTCTAGGGCAGGGACTACCGCCCCATCACCTCAGCTGTAGCATCAGTCAGGGGGACATGAGAGCATGACGTTGGGACTCTCGGCTGCTTTCCCTTCTCTTTTCCCCCTGGCACCCAACCTCATTCATAGTTGGTTTCTCCTCCCAAGAAACCCCCTCATAGACACAGCCAAACTGTTCCGCTAATCTCCTAGAGAAAGACTCTCACTATGCCTGCTAGGCACTTCTTAAAATTCAACCAAATTGGCAGCCAAAATCATCCATCATACTTCCCAACAAATTCAAAATTATGAAAGCACCTCTACTGTGAAATTATGAAACACACCTCTAGAGGATGTGTGTCAGTGAGAAGCAGTGTCTTCTAGAAGGTGCTCTCACCTGGGCCTGGTAGAGCAGAGCTGTCATCCCAGCTACTTGGAAGCTTGAGGCAAAAGAATTGCAAGTTGAAAACATACCCTGCCTGTAGAGTGAGCCCAAGGTTAGCCTGAGCAATTAATGACCTTGCCTTAAGAAAAAGAAAAAAAGATGGACTCTGGGGAGGTAGATCAGTCGTTACAGTGCTTGGCACAGAAACATGAAGTTCAACAAAACATCAATCCCTACTTCAAACGCTTCTAAAGCAAACAGACTCCAGCCAACAGTGCAGACCTTAGAGCAGGGCTGGGGAGGCCATGAGCTTTGCCTCAGCCAACAGACTGACACGGACAGTGGCACAGTGCTGGCACTGTGGGCACAGGCCTGGGGTCAATACTAGCATGAGACATTCATGACGGAGAAAAGGTCTGCTCCTACTGTTTACCTGAGAAAGGTAAGGATAGGTAAGGAGATGCTAAGGGAGAAATATGAACCTGGGCCTTAAAAAGTGAATTTTTCCTAAAGTAACACATCATATTCTTTTTTTGTTTGCTTTTTGTTTTTCGAGACAAAGTTTCTCTATAGCTTTGGAACCTGTCCTGGAACTAGCTCTTGTAGACCAGGCTGGCCTTGAACTCACAAAGATCTGCCTGCCTCTGCCTCCTGAGTGCTGGGATTAAAGGCGTGCGCCACCACCACCTGGCCCCAGTTTAAATTCTTAATCTCTGATCTTGACTGCTGAAAAGTGGTAAAACAAGAATAAGCTGCTGCACCCAACCATTACACTATGTCAAAGGAAATGTCGTAACTCGGGAAACTAACATTTTAAATAAATAATATATTAAATTTTGCCTATATTTCCTATTTCTTTATAAAAGATGAAATCTTGAAGAACTACAAAAGCTCTTTTCTCATAAGTTGTTTTAGAGTTAAAATAATACAAAGGCTCTAAATTTCATTTTAGGATGAGGAAAATATACCACACAACAGCTCTAGGGAAGAGTGTGTGAGAAAAAGGACAGAACGGGAAGATGCTTTAGCCTTCTCCTAAAAGTGCCACAGAATTTTTTTGTTAAAACAAAAATAAAAAACAGGATGGTGGTGGTGTGTGTGTTTAATCCTAGCACTCCAGAGGCAGAGGCAAGTGGATCTCTGTGAGTTCAAGGCCAGCTTGGTCTACTCTGCAGAGTGAGCTCTAGGACAGCCAGGGCTACACAAAGAAACCCTGTCTTGAAAAATAAAAACAAAACAAGGAAGAGAGAGAGAAAGAGAGGGGGGAGACCTTCTATGGAGTACTTTGCACTACATGGAAATACTAAACTTTCTTATTCTTCCCTTTTATCATCTAGCGTTCCTAATTACATGTGATCAATCCCTCCCTGAAAATATAGCCTATAAAAAATTAATTTCTGATATACTTTTCTAGGTCAGGTCAGAAGCTACATTCAATTTTCTCTTTGATGAGTGAATAACCCAAATAGTTTAATAAGATTTTATTTGCCTTAATTATGATAGCACTAAGAAAAGATCCCAAGGTATACCTCACACTTACTAAGGTAGTTGATGCCGATCCCTTGAGTATACTTCAGGCAACTGAATTTTGTTTCTAATACTCTGCCTGTTTGGTCGAAAGCGACACCTCAGTTCCCTAACACCCTTTATACAAAAAGCCCAGATTGTTTGGCTGGGAGCTTCACCCCAGCTCCTAGAATAAGCTCCCTCCCCTGAGAGTTGCCTCAGTCTAAAGCCTGCCAAACAGTGACCACCCAGGGAAGGTTGGGTCTACTCACATAGACTATTTAAACTGCCCCCCAGAGAACAAACACGTGGTCCCCCTTTCTCTTTCTTTCCCTCTCCATGTTTTCCCAGGACTACCCAGGAGCATTGCACTAAACATGGGCATCTTTAATTTGGTTTAATTGGGTCTGATTGGAATTATTTACGTTGGTGGAGAGGCTCGTCTAAGACAAAATACCTAACACTGTCAACATCCCCAAGAACATTATATAAAAGTGATCACAACAGAAGAACTAAATATGGAAGTGAGAGTAATAGCGTTTTTGAATTTCCAAATAGAAAATAAACAATTATACAGAAAACAAAATCACCTCATTGAGAGAACTGGGCGGAGGTGGGGGGTAATCAGAAATCTAAGTTTTAGTTTCAGTTGACTAAAATGAGACAGAGCTAAAGAGTCAATCTTCAGAAAAACCACAGCCTTCTGCTGGCTCAGCAGGCCCCCAAAGCACCTTTGCCGGCTCAGCAGGCAGCCCCCAGTCTCCTGATAACTAAAGATAGCTTTCCTTACCCTGCTGTTGGAAGGTCCCTAATCACTAGGACCTTCCACCAATCAGCGCCCGAACTAATCTTTCCTCTGCCAATCAACCCCAGATTAATCCCTCCTCTCTGGAATTCCCCTAACTCTGCTTTAAAGGAGCTTGTGCCCTTCTCTGGGGGTAGCCAAGAGCCACCCCAACGTTGGAATTAATAAAGCGCTCTTGTTATTGCATACATGTCTGTTGGTCTTCTTTGGGGGTTTCTCTCGGACCCTACACTCATTCCATTCTGCAAATGTTGACTGGCTGTATGTTTGGTTTCCAGCTGGGAGACTGTTTAGGACAGGTGAAGAAGTGTGACCTTGCTGGAGGAGGTGTGTCACTGGAGGTGGACTTTGAGGTTTCAAAAGCTCATGCCAGGCCCAGTCTCTTTCTGCCTCCATCTTGCAAATAAGAACTAAGATGTCAGCTACTGCTCTAGCACCTGGATGCTACCCTGCTCCCACCACAATCAGGGACTAATCCTCTGAAACTATGAGCAGGGCCCCAATTAAGTGCTTTCTTTTATAAGCTGCTTTGGTCATGGTGTCAAACAAAGCAATCAAACAGTGAGACAGACTATTACATAGCACGTGGCGGGGATATACAAGACCTACTGACAGTGTGAGTACCAATGGAGAAGCGCGGGCAGGTTAATATGGAAAAAGAAATGGATGGATGTCTAAAGGAGAGGCCGGAAACCTGGGAGTGAGTAAGCAAAGAATGGAGAAAAGCAAACAGTTAAACATGCTGACCATGTCCCTAGCCTGCAAACAGAATAACTACCCTGGTGTCTGCCCCATTTTAACCCCTCCCCGCCCACTACTGCCTTCGCAAGTTCTTTCTGCTTTGTTTCCTCATCTCTCACTTTTTATTCCACTTTTATCCGTTAATTCTATAACTGAAAACACAACTTCTCACATCTATTCTTTATTATAGAACTTTTCTTTGTCTATGGCCAGAAATCCTAAGGAAATTCTTCAATATCCTTTTGAACCCAATAAAAATTACAGAGCTGTTGAGAAAATGTACATATACACAAGCAACTTTCCCAGACAGTTTTAGAAGATTCATGGTTTCACTGAAGTCCACAATAAAGACTAGAACCACAGGCTTAAAAGCCCTTGTCTAAAGATGCTCTGAAAGATCCAGTGGAGTAGCACACTCCTTTAATCCCAGCACTTCTGGAGGCAGAGGCAGGCGGATCTCTGTGAGTGCAATGCCAACCTGGCCTACATAGTGAGTTCCAAGACAGCCCGGGGCTGTGTAGAGATCCTGTCTCAATGACACCCCCCGCCCCTGTGAAAAGGAGAAGCTTTCAAAGATTTATGAGGCCACATCAACCTGCTGTGAGTCAATACAAAGAATACGACACACTATACGACGCAATTGTTGCTCAGGTTTGTTGCTGTTTTAAATACTTCTTGACAGTTTTTAGAAACAGCATTATGGCTTAGATCTTAAGTATCCCTCTAAGTTTAATATGCAGAAGCTTGCTTACCATCCTGGGGCGGTAGTGGGAGGTGGCAGAAAAGTGTACCCTTGGAAGGGATAGTGGGACTGTCCTCCTCTCCCCTCCCCTCCCTCAGCCTTCCACAGTGTGCTGCCTTGCCACCGGCCCCAAAGCAGGAGCTCGAGCAATGGTGACTCTGAACTATGAGCCCAATAACCCCTTTAAAGTCAATTATCTGCCCCAGCACTTGTCCACGAAGATGGGAAGCTGACTGACCCAGAAAAACAACACAAATTATTATGAAATCAACTAACTACAGGTAAATTTAAATGACTGCTAGAAATTCATCTATCTGGTTCCCCAAGGGCAAAGTTCACATGTCGTTCATCTTTGCATTTCTAGTATCTAATAAGTGATATTTCAACATGGCCCATAGTAGGCATTCACTAAGCATTTCTTAGGCCTGTGAAGGGCTCAGTGGATAAAGTCTTCCAAGACTGAAGACTGAGTTTCATCTCCAGACCCCACTGCAGAAAGAGAACTAAGCAATCACAACCCTAAAGGTGTCTAAGCAGCACTCTGTATGTTGTGTGAACACTGTAATTAAGCCAGGTGGTGCACGCCTTTAATCCCAGCACTCAGGAGGCAGAGGCAAGGGAATCTCAAGTTCAAGGCCAACCTGGTCTACAGAACGAGCTCCAGAATAGCAGGACTGCACAGAGAAACCCTGTCTCAGAAAAAACTAAACACAAAAATCAATCAAACAAACAATTACATCAAAATTCACAGAGCTGCGATAAAAGTGATTTGCATATTAACGACATTACTTTATCCTTTAACAAATAAAATTTAGATGACATATGTAATCTGTCTATATTTAAAATAAATGGTCACTTCTTCCCCAGTTGATTTTATTAAAACTGAAATAGACACAAAGAATGTTTTCCATGGGGAGAAAGCCTTTTTATGCCCACATTACACTGTAACTTAGAACAGCAAAACAGCTAGGCATGGTAGTGCGCACCAATAATCCCAGCACTCAAGAGGCAGAAGCAGGGGCTTTCTAAGAGTTCCAAGCCAACTTGGTCTACACAGAAAGTTCTAGATTAGGAAGGACTACATAATGATGGCTTACCTCAAAAACAAAACAAAATAAAGTAATAAACTATCTTTCAAAAGAAAAAAAAAGTTAATTTGCTGACAAAATATTTTTTTGTCTTTTATTTATTAAAATTTTTTTTCTTTTATTTATTAAAGATTTCTGCCTCGTCCCCGCCACCGCCTCCCATTTCGCACCGCCTCCCATTTCGCTCCCCCTCCCTCAATCAAGTCCCCCTCCCTCATCAGTCCAAAGAGCAGTGAGGGTTCCCTGCCCTGTGGGAAGTCCAAGGACCTCCCACCTCCTTCCAGGTCTAGTAAGGTGAGCATCCAAACTGCTTAGGCTCTGACAAAATATTTTAAATGCTTTAAAATAAGTCCTCTGAAAACTATGGGGCAATAATGAAAAGTTGCTAATTTAATATTGAAGCTGTTCATCTAAGGTCAGAATACTACCACTAATTTAAAATGATAGAACATTTTTTAGGATATCACATTTTTAATAGATCTACAATTAACCACTGTGTGCACGTAAATGGGGTGGAGATATTAAACCTGACACTTTGCTTTGCTTTTCAAATTTTCTTTTTAAGGATACTTCAATTTTTTTTAAAGATTTATTTATTTATTTATTTATTTATTTATTTATTTATTTATTTATTATGTGTACAACATTCTGCCTCGATGTATGCCGGTATGCCAGAGGAGGGCGCCAGATGTCAGTACAGATGGTTGTGAGCCACCATATGGTTGCTGGGAATTGAACTCAGGACCTCTGGAAGAGCAGCCAGTGCTCTTAACCTCTGAGCCATCTCTCCAGCCCTACTTCAATTTTTTGAACAATATTCGGAGTGCTTTCTCACACATTTCATTTCTTATTGATAAAAAAGAATAAAGAATAAACTCACCCAAAAAAGCAACTTTGTTTCTCTCTCACACTTTATATGCTACTAATAAAATGCTATTTATCATTTTTAAAAATTTCCTTTTTTTTTTAAAGAAAGAAAGTTTTACTTGATTCACAGTTAGAGGAAGCAGGCGCACAAGGCGCTGTGTTCCATAACATCTGTAGTAAAGGGGCAGTGGAGGAAATGGGAGGAAAGTGACCAGCAGCGCTGAGCTTGCGCTCTCTGTTCTATTCAGCTCGAGTGCGCCCCATCTTTTCTGCATCATCTTCACAGTCATTCTACCAGCCTCGATGTCCTATTCGCTTCTATAATTTCCAGAATATTCCAAATGTAATCTGCGAGTCCAATTTTAAGGAACTACCTTTGCGCAAGGGCTGTGGCATCATTAAGATCTGGATGAGCAGAAGGGATGTCACATCATGATAAAGGATTGGAACTTCAGGCTGCTGTTCTTCATTCCCCAGTCTAAAAAAAAAAAATTTGCATGGTTACATCCTAGTGCAGTTTATATCTTTCTAATTCATGTTGTGTCTAATATGTATCTCTACAAACAGAAATAAAAAATAAGAAATCTTAACTGAAGTAGAAGGCCGTATTTTGTTTTACTAATAATATGAGCATTTTGGTAATGCATACATTTCCTTTTTCTAATTTGAAAACACCACATATGAATTTTATTAAGCCTTACCAAAGTAAACATCTAAGCTGCATTAACACTGAGTCTTTGGAATCACTGAAATTACAGAGGCTAAGTGAGGCACTGAATAGAACATGAGAAAACAAGACAGATGAGGCAGCTCAGGACCATCTCAAGTAGCTCAAGGGAAATGCTCACCTTACGAGGAAGCAGGGGCACAGAGCTTCTCTGCGTAATAGTCTCATTAAAACCTGTTAAAACTTTATTGCTGACACAAATTCTAACAAAAGCCTTAACATTTGCAGTTTCAACACAGAATAATCAAAGCAGAACATCTCACACACACTACAAAAGACCTAGAGATGCACAGCACTATGAAAACACAGACCTCAAAGCAGAGCCCATACTAAAGAATTCCCTAACTGCTTTTAGTAGGGAAGGTGGGAGGGTGTGTGTGTGTGTGTCTGTCTGTCTGTCTGTCTGTCTGTCTGTCTGTCTGCCTACCTGCCTGCCTGCCTACTTGTCTTGCTAGAACTGAACTCAGGGCTCATACATATCTATCTAACAAGCACTCAATCATGAGTATAGCCCTAATATTGGAGACTTAATTATTTTTATTACAGGTTAAATTTTAATAAAACAGTAAACCTCAAGGTTCCAAAACTGACTAAATTCTGAAGCTATACATCTGTCGAGGCTTGGGTAGGGTTGTCTGAGCCTGTGATTAGGCTGTAATCAGCAAAGTAATCAGTAAGTGCTGGCTCCTAATATGTGCCAGGCATTGGACAAACAGCTGGATAAGACAGTTCAAGCTTCTGTGAATTTTATGACTGCCAATGAAAGACAGTTCTTTGAAATTCTCCATTATCTACATATATATCTTCACATACTGTACTTGTCTTCCTCTCTAAGACCATGGCTCCTATTATCTTATCTCCCCAAGATATGCCCCTTGCAACTAACTTCATAAGCCTAAAATTGGGGAGGGAAAGGAGAGGACCATTTCATTATCAAACTCCCTCATGAAAATAAATTTTCCATATGATCAATAATGATTTCTTAATTATAAAATTTAGTGGACATTCTAAGTAGTCATCTCATTGACCCTTGACTTTAGATATACTTGGATACAACTACCTGGAATTATGGTTATCTTTCCTCAACTGCCAATGAAAATCAATTCCAAGTTATATATACACATATTTATATATTAAATATTATATATAATACCATGAGAAAACTCTAAGAAGAAAATTTAGGTAAATACTATGAATCTTAAGAGTGGGAAAAGATTACTGGTTATGAAAGTAATCAACAGATCTTGAGCGAAATGGGAATTCAATGTATAAAAGCAATAAAAAAAAGATAAAAACGAAATTTAATTTGTGTCATAAAAATTTCAATTTTCTAAATGCTGAGCAAAGTAATTATAAGGTCAAAAGGCAAATATATTTTTGGGAAACTATGAAGAAAAAACAACATAAACAGACCCTCACATATACCTCTTAACAAAATAAAATTCAGTATCTTAAACCATAAAAAATTACTCAGATACTTTAAAAAACAAGATGCTAGCGAGGCAGTGGTGGCCCACACCTTTAATCCCAGCACTCAGGAGGCAGAGGCAGGTGGATCTCTGAGTTGGAGGACAGTCTGGTCTACAGAACAAGTTCCAGGACAGTTAGAACTACACAGAGAAACCCTGACTTGAAAAACCAACCAAACAACAACAAAAAATAAGATGCCTACAGAAAAAAAGAACAAAGATCCTAAAAATAAAGTTCACAAAGACCAAGGCAAGATAGTACATGCCTTGTAATCCTAGCACTCAGTGGCTGAAGCAGGAGCTCCATTAGTTCAAGGATAGCCTTGGCTACACTGCACTTGCACTATCCTTTCAAAGTACAAAGGGCTGGAGAGATGGGCCAGTGGTTAAGAACTCTTACTGCTCTTGGGGAGGACTCAAGCTTGGTTCCCTCATGAGAGGAGCTTCTTTTTACAGCACATGGTGATTGACACAGACACAAGCACCTTAGTCAAGGTGCAGAAAACAAAAGATTGGTGTGCCCACCTCTATACTATATAGATATATCATATTCTCTCTCCCTAAAGCTCAGGGATCATCATGGAAGATGGGGCAGAGAGAATGTAAGAGAAAGAGGTAGTGGGCATCACAGTGGCAGAGAATGTCATGACAGCACCACTGCACACATAAACTCAATGGCTGTAAGACCATGCACAAGATCTGCACAAGATCAAGCCAGCCATAATCCCAGGATGGAGAGTGGAGCTCAGCAAGTCCCACCCCTAGCTGAAGGCTACCAGGGCTGGGAGAATCAGTTATCTTCAGAGATGCAGCCCTTGAGCCCCCCCCCTCTCTCTCTGCAGCCCTTGAGCCCCCCCCTCTCTCTCACACACACACATAGATATCTTGTCTCAAAAGCATTTTCCTACATTATACTCAATTTGTAGATACAAAGAATAAAATAGCTTGGCAATCACTCCCACAGCCAAACGACCAGAGTCACTGTGGTAAGTCATAGGACAGATCATGCCTCCTGATGTTATACATCAGGAGCACATCAGTGTGGTGGTTTACAAAAAGTGCATAATCTGATCACTGGGAGATATTGGACAAAAATAAATTTTAAAACAGTCTATAAAATAATTGGCTGGTCTTAGCTCTTTTTTAAAAAAATCAGATGTCATGAAATGCAAAGAAACATTCAGAATCAATTTCAAATTACAAAAAAAATTAAAGAGACACTAAAATCAGATGCAAACATGATCTTTAAATTTGTAATGTTCTTTTGCTACATCTTTCTCCAAGCAATGGGCAAACCTTCAATAGAATTTGTATGAGGTAGTAGTCAATATTGTTTTCCACGAGACTATCCAATTAACTCAGAACAATATCAGAAGAATATGCTCCCAGTTGCTCCATAAACTCGTCTGCCATAAACCCACTATCTCGACACATGGGGTCTAGTTTACTGTCTTTTTTCTACACAGACAGTAGTACAGTCTCCATCTTTTCTTTTGGTTGCTCTCTTTCAACTCCATGGCAGTAAACAAAAGCACTTTTATCTTATTCTTTCTTGTTAAACTGTAAGTCCATTTAAATTTGCTACTAAGTAAAGGTAAATAAGATATTTTACAGCTATATAGACAAATAAAATAAAATTCTGTATAATATCTATACCATACACTATAATAAATTCCAAACAGATTAAAACCATGAAAGTACTAGAAGAAACCATGGGTAAATTGTGTTATAAGAACAGAGTGGGAGAAAACCTGTTGACTCAAAATGAAAAATTAATAAATCCCTAATTTTAAAGCTTTAACAAAAAATAAACCAAGTAAAAAAAAATCTGAGAATCTGGTGACAAGTAATTTCAACTCACAAAACAAAGGACTCACATCCATACTCTTAAGCATGACAGGAAATTAGAAGTAGTTAACAGATAAGAGGCTTCAAGTAAGTAGTTCATGGAAGACATATAAGGCTAAATTTACTTTATTACTGAGGCTTTACTTTGAGGGAAAGATTGATTGATTGACTGATTGATTGATTGATTGACTGATTGATTTACGGGTTTTCAAGGCAGGGTTTCTCTGTGTAGCTCTGGCTATCCTCAAACTCGAAGATCCACCTGCCTCTGCCTCCCAGGTGATGGGAGTGTGCTACCACCGCCTGAAGAGAAAATGTCTTTAAATAATGAGGAAAAAGATAAACTGAACTATACATCAAGCTGATGGTACAGTGAAGCAACACTGTTATGAAACTTTTTTTTTTTACTATACACACCTAATGATACATATTCTGAGAACAATGAGGGTGTCTGGCGTGGTAGTTTATGCTGACTGTCTACTTGACAGGACCCAGGATCACTGAGGAAACAAACCTCTGAATGTGTCTGTGAGGAAGTTTCTAGCTTGGGTTAATGAGGTGGAAAGACCCACCTTGAATGTCCACGGTCCTAGACAAGCAACAGTAACTGATCCCTGACTGCGCGAGTACTGCGACCCACTATCTCCCGCCTCTGCCACTTCCCTGCCACAACAGCCGCACCTTAAATTATGAGCTGAAACCAGCTCTTCCTTAAATTGCTTTTGTCAAGTATTCACTGTCACTAGCAGTGAAGAAAGTAACTAATTTATCTGGCCAGCAGTAACAGTGATATTTAAAATCAATAATTGCAGATAATTATGCAAATGAGTAGTAACATTAATATCAAGAATCAAGGGTTTTGTCAAACAAAAAGATAAAAATGACAAAATGTTATGACTTAAAGGTTCTATAATATTACAATAACCTGACTTAGAAATATCAGTAAGAATTCAAGATCTTTTCCTTTTTTTTGTTTTGTTTTGATTTTTTTCTTCTTTTCTTTATTTGCTTATTTTTTTTAGTTGTTGAAAAAAAAATTTCCGCCTCCTCCCCATTTCCCATTTCCTCCCCCTTCTCCCACACATTGCCCCCTCCCCCACTCCCCTCCCCACTCCCCCTCCCCCTACTCCATTCCCCCTCCCTCTCGAGAATGAAGACAAAAACAGACAGACAGATATCTCAAATGTTAAGAGTACTGGCTGCTCTTCCAAAGAACCCAGGTTTGGTTCCCAGCACCCACATCAGGCGCTCACTGCTCTCCCATCCTCCCGTAACCCCAGATACAGGGAGTTCTGACTTCCATGGCATCCACGGCATACATTCACTCAAACTCACTACATATACAAAACAAATTGTAAGGAAGAAGGAAGGGTGGGTGGGTAGGTGGGTGGTTGGACAGATAAGACAGGCAGCGAGGCAAGCAAGCTGGCAGAAATGGCGTGAAAACAACCCAGCAGTTGTGTTAAACTCCTGGGGACCCAGACCATGTTTTCTAAATAAAGAGAATTACACAGAGAAATGGCAGGTTCCAGGAATAAAGTGTTCAAAATGAACATTACCAAAAAACAAAAGATACTACAAAAGACTATTTAAAACATGTCAAAAGTGAAACAGTCAGCCTAGGAGTTTCTCTAAACTAGGGTAACAATGTGCACTGAAAAGAATGACTAAAATGAAATGCATTAAATTATAAAAATAACATAATATAAAATAAACAAGCAAGTGCAACTTACTGGTCATTAACAAGAGCTGCCAGAGCACTAACTCATTACCCTCCAAACGTATAACCTGGGAAAGAATCAAGCAGTCTGCTGTCAAACTGCCTTTCAAAGTCAGCAGATGGGCAGTGGTCAAGTCATCAGCTGAAAACTAATGTGAGCCTTTACAAAGGCTGGATGAACCACTGACCAAATTCTAACAGAAAATAGCAATCAACCTTTATGTACCTCTATTGCAATGTGTCATGTGCTTAAAAACCAGCAGGATTCATCCTGAGATTGTCTCACTTAGTAGAAACTTTTGTGTAATTTTTACAGAAAGTATAAAGGTGAGTATTTTTAAATTTTTATAATACACTTAATGTTTCATAAGGAAATGTATCCATATAGAACTTTAAAACAATATTTAAATTTAATGACTATTTTTCTAAAAAGAATTTTAACTGATTTTAACCTTTCAATAATACTTACTGTGAATTCATATCTTCTACTAACTGGGTGAGTTTTTTCCAGGGATTATACTCAGAATCAATGGTATAAAGCCGCATGTGCAAGGCTAATACATGGAACAGCTGATCTGAATAAATTGGGGGGAGGAAAAACTAATGAGAAAGTTGATACAATTCTTCCAGGATAAAATGTTCTCAAAGTTTTAGTTACTTTTTTTCTAGTTACTTTTAATAAAGAAATATAATCATTTTATTTTGTTCAGTCACTCTATATAATTAATCAAGTTTACCCCGTATCTTGCTTAGGTTTTTATTGTTTTAACAAAAGACCATTACCAAAGCACCTTGAGGAAAAAAGTTTATTTCATCTTTCAATTCTCAGGTAACACTCCATCACTGAGAAAAGTCAAGCCACGAACCTGGAAGCAGGAATTGAAGCAGAAGCCAGGGAAGAGAAGCTTACTGGCTTGCCCTCTATGGCTTGTTTCCTACACCATCTAGGACCTCCTCCCCACGAGTAGCACTCCCTCCAATGAGCTGGGCCACCAACATCATTGCTCAAGAAAATGCCCTACAGAACTACCTGCTGGCCAATCTTATGAAGGAATTTTCTCAATTAATATTCCCTCTTCCCAGATATGTCTAGGCTTACATCAAGTTGACAAAAGAAATAACTAGTACAACCAAGATCAGCCATTACAAGCTGCAACTACTTCATTCCCTTCTACGGTGCTCTAAACATAACTCCACACGATTTCTCACAGAATCCAGACTTCAGAAGCCATCTGCTTTTCTCATCTGATTTTATGATCCAGTTATGCCTATTTTTTCTTCTTAGTATTATAGTCATTTTCTAACTGAAATCTGCTGCCTTTAAGTCCCTACCTGGGTGTTATGAATAACAACATTCTTAGCAGTTCAGAGAAAAGTTCTTCTTTGGTGAAGTTGCTTGTTAGAAATAGCATACACAGATAGAAGCTATTTAGTGTAGATCATGAATTATATCTAAATTATTAGAACTTCCCAAATGAAGGATAAGTTCACCAATTCTAAATCTCTGAGTAAATGTGAATGTCTTTGAAGAAAAATGTGCAAAAACCCTAAAATTCCTTTACTGAAAACCTTCTAGAACAATTCTCTAGAATAGTGCTAAACTATTTAAACTTATGTTACTGTACTTTGAATTAACTCAAACATATTATAAACTATATTTTCTTCATCTCAACAATTGCCCATTTAAGACATATTACTACACTATAGAGTATACATAGGGTTTAAGTGTATACATTAGAGGTCACTAAACATGTAATAAAAAAATTAACTCCCCAAATCTTTGATTCTAGAAATCAAGAGATAACCCAAAAATACCCAAAACAATTATAAACATTAAAAACTGTTAAATAACTTTATCAAAAGTTTATAATTTGAGGTACTTTACTTTTAAATTCATCCTAATAGATAACTTTTCAAAATAATATATACATATATTATGTTTAAAAGCTGGTATGTATTGCTATTGGATATTATTTTTAGTATGTAACAAAATAAATTCACTTTCCAATATACCATGTATTTTAAACAAGTTTTATTCCCTATGCCAGCACCTAAGGTAACATTTCAACTCTAGCATTCTGGGGCTAATAATGGATATTGTGACATTAGGTAATACTGCTCCTAGTATTCATAAGCTCTCTAATCAATGAGCAAACATCATAAAAAGTCATGTTCTTGAAAAACCTAGTCTAGGTTGCAAATTACACTTCTCTTAAGCATATTTTTACAAATGGTGTTGAAGAATTATGTCTACAAGAAAAAGCATACACATAAAGGAAATAGATATTATTTTAATACATGTTAGTTAATATACAGCAAAACGGAGCACATTATCTTCAGTAATTAACAGCGACAGTATAATAAACATAACTATATATTTTAATCAACTCAATGTAAAATTTCTTTCAAACTTAAATTTATTTTATTTCTTTGAATAATACATTTAAAAAATATTTGAACTAATGTAAATTTGCCCAATTAGACATTTATATTGCTGACCTATCATAATACAGATATCCATATTGTTCTTCTAAATATAGCAGCATTTTAAACATTTGAAAACTAACATGAGGGGGCCGGAGAGATGGCTCAGAGGTTAAGAGCATTGCCTGCTCTTCCAAAGGTCCTGAGTTCAATTCCCAGCAACCACATGGTGGCTCACAACCATCTGTGTTGGGGTCTGGTGCCCTCTTCTGGCCTGCAGACATACACACAGACAGAATATTGTATACATAATAAATAAATAAATATTTTTTTTAAAAAAGAAAACTAACATGAACAGAATTTGAAGAAAATCAACAATACTGAAAGAGTACTTTCCCTATATAGGCTTCAAATCTGACATAAATAGAAATCTTCTCAAATTATAACACTGCTCAATACTTACTCAAACAAGATCTTTTACCAGCTGTGCTTGCACCACCTGAGCAAAGGCTGCCTCCTCGATGAATCAATTCCAGTTCCAAATTGGTTCTGTAAGCAAAGCATTAAAACCCATCTCAGTCAAAGGCAAAAAGATTTTTCTGCTTTACTGACAGAGATCAATCAAGCTAAACAATAAAATTCTTCAACTTTATTACTTGCAAAATCACAGCTTATAGAGTAATGATTTTTTCTTATATTTAGAAATTAAAAGTAACAATTTATCCATCTTTGTTTAGATGCTCAAATTTATACCTGTAAAAAAAATTTATACATACAAGTATGTGATTGCTGCAAAGTCTCAGCCCTTGGCAAATACTAAAAACTAGGCCTCAATAACAAAAATCCTGCAATGTATTTCATAAGCCTATCTATAAATTACATGAAAAATATGTACTTCAGCTGCCAGCGACCAGGTAGATAATTACTGTCATTAAAAGAAATACGATTTTTTTTTCTATCAAAGAAATGGTTCTCACTCATTGGAAATTAGGTGGTATCTGGAAAACAGTATCATGAAACAAAACAAACATTGAAGCGACTATAATCAACACATAATTAACTAATCATGGTCTCTTTTATAAACTTCTACAATTATTAAAATGCATTATGCAACTATTGATAAAGATCAGTATTGCTCACAAACATCTGAAATTACAAAGTGTTCAACATTTATTAGCTTACGGAATAGCAACTATTAGTAAACTGGTGTTTTCAAAAGCAAACCTAAGCAGAACTGAAATATTTATTCACAAAGAATAGCAGTAGAAGAATGATTTACCAAAATAAAAAAATTAAATTTTGAGTTATAACTTCAATTTGCTGCATTTCAATAGTACTTATCACCTTAAATATTTTTTTTCCAACAAACAAAACTGAATTAACTAATTTGTATCCAAAGTATGCTAATGAGACACCAAGCACCTCAACCCTGCCTTAAAGAGAGGCAAGGCTTCAAGCTTACTCTGCTGTGAATTTAAGAAAAACTACATCCTATTTTATTTATAAACAAAACATTTAAACTGGCTTTGGCTACATTTTAAAATGGTATTTTCATTTATAACTTATAAATGCAAACTTTAAAATATTAATATTCCTGAGTCAGTAAATTTACCACCCATTTCTAAAGGATGGTTTAATCTTCTTGGGGTGGGGAAGATGCAATTTAACACTGATAATGTTCCTGCTCAGAGCTCCGTCTGGTTGCTGCTGATAAGGGCATCTGTGTGACAAGGGAATTTCCACCCTTCAGGCGATTTGCAATGCTCACTGAACTTCTAAAAACCTACCAGCAAGGAAGCAGGGACAAGGGTTTCATATTAGTGGACAGAAAGCGAGCGCGGAGACCAGCATGTGTTCCTTCATCAAGGGAATATAAATGAGATCAATATATTTTGTTTTCACAAATCTTCTGTTGCCTAATCTGTAGAAAAAAATTAATGGCTATATTCTCTTATAAAAACTATGATTTCCTAGATAGTACTTTTTAAAGTGCCAACCAAACACAGCAATAAATCTTAACAAATGAATGTCAACTTTCATCTCACTATTTACAAAAATGATCATTAAATTATAAAAACAATTCTGTTTATTGGATCACCATATATACTTTAGAAGGATAACAAATAAGTTATGTGAATTTTATTCTAAAAGAGATAAGCCTGTTAAGTCTGACTTTATTTTAAAATATGGCTGGAAGATCTCTTGTACATCTCTATTTCATCTTTTAAAACTGTCTATACAAAGGATTAATATATAATATCTAGAATTACAAGAAAATCAATGTCACAGGCCCTAACCATCACTATTTCCTTCCTTCATTTATACTGAAACTGGCCCTTTAAGACGCACTAGATTAAACCACCCAGGTGGCCATGTGCCCCCTGTCTATTACACCTCACAGCTGAAAACCACTGCAATCTGGTTTTCTTTCCTGAATGGAAAATAAAAAAAATAAATATAATTTGGGAATGAATTTTCTATGCTTTTTATTCTTGGAGGAAAGTAAATTCTATCCTGAATTTCCTAGCACAAAATATATCCAAGTGAATTTGGCAGCAGAAAAAAACCTCTCCATTTCAAAAAATGACAAGCCCGCTGAAAGCTCTCACCGGACCACTAGATACATCGTGCATTACAAAATCCCTTAACTGCGTATTAGCTCTTCTTATCCTTAATCAAAGTGTGTGCTCCTGTTATGTTCCCCTCTTACTGTTTTTTTAGAGCAATAATCTGAAAAACAGATGTACGCGTACACACACACACACACACACACACACACACACACACACACTATCAAGCCAAACTGGGACAATAGAGAGGGTAAAGGTTTTAGAAATCTGCAGATCTAAGGGCTTGAACCTGCCACTCTATTCTCTGAGCAAACTACTCAGTTTCTCAGCAGGCTTTGGAGGTTGGGAAGCATACTTTCATCCAAAGCATAGTCTACATTGAAGACACAGCTCTTCTAGGAAGCCTTTCTGAGACAGAAAATAAATTATTTCATATACTTTGTTTCTATTTGTTTATATTCCTTGTACTAGCTAGTCTTATGCCAAATTGACATACAAACTAGAATTATCTGAAAGTAGGGAAAACAAGTTTAGAAAATGTCTCTATAAAATCCAGCTGTAAGGCACTTTCTTAATTAGTCATTGATAGGCAGGGCCCAGAGTCCACCCTGGACTGGTTTCCTAGGTTCTATAAGAAAGCAGGCTGAGCAAGCCACAGGAAGCCAGTAAGAAGCACTCACTCCCCATGGCCTCTGCATCAGTTCCTGCCTTCAGGTTCCTGACCTGCTTAAGTTCTTGTCTGTTAAAGTTCATTCCTTTGGTAATGAACACCAGTGTAGAAGGGTAAGCTGAATATTCCTGATCTCACCAACTTGCTTTTGGTTATGGGGTTTCATTGCAACAACAGAAACACTAAGACATTCCCTTTGGAAGTTCTCCAACATCCTGCCTATATAACATTTTTTTTTCTTATTTTATTCTGCTTTAGAACCTATTTTATTCTGTTTTATATGCAATGTTTCTTACATGGAGAAAGTTTCTTAAAGAAAGAATGTTTCTTAAATGGAGAGTGTTGGCTCTCCAACTAAATTGTAAATTCCTGAAGAATTTCAAGTGACCATGTTTTAGTGTCTAAATCCTCAACAATACTTTTTACATGCTTTACGTTAAAAAAAAAAAAACCATGGTAAGACTGGGGAGACGGCTCAGGAGGTAAAATGCTTGCCTTGCAAGCATGAGGTCTAGATTAAGATCTCCTATACCTACATAAAGCCGGGCACATTTAGCAGACCACCAGAAAGCTCCAGGGCCAGGAAGACTGGCCTCAGAGGTGAAGAGCGGCTGAAGAAGAAACTCCACCCACACACGCACACACACTTAGCAACTTCAATTTTTTGATTTGTAGTTATCTCCTTTTGCTGACCCTTACAACCCTTCAATGCAAGAACAACTAAAGGAAAAATAGATTTTTTTTCCCCGAGGGGAAAAAAGAGACATGAAACAAAAGAAACTCAAAGGTTCAGTTTGACACTGGATATGGTGGTTTTTGCCCACGGTCCCAGCTACTCAAGAAGCTGAGATGGATTGCTTAAGCCTAGAATCTGGAAATTAGCATGTACAGCACAGTCAGACTCTACTTACAAAAGACAAAAGGCCGATCACTTGGCACTTTAGAAAGTATTCCTCCTATTTCCAGCATAACTCCTTTCAGAGACCTAGACTTACAACACAGTATATGAAAACAAGTAGAATCACTCTACTGAACACCAGTCCACTCATGATGAAAAAACATCTGTTCATCCTCAACTCAGATGCTCCTACTTCTTTCTACCATTTCCATTTTTCTTACAATATAGACACCAAGAGCCATAGGCCAATACCTCTAAATTATTTGTGACTTAGATACAAAAGCCTCTAGGGGAAAATCAATTACTGAAAGCCATGTCTTTCTTAATGTCAGTAAGAAAATAATGAATGACTACTGAAGGACACCTTCTTACCTATCATAATCTTTTCATAATCCATTTTTATGACTAATATTTGCAAAAGAATGAAAATTTCAGAAACAAGTTGAAATTTGAATAAAGCAGCTATGGTTAATTTGAGAATTAATTTTCAAAAACACATTCCAACAATTTCTCCTCTGTTGCGTTCAGGAAAAATCTTCCAGAGAGTCCTCATACAAATCAAACTAAAAAACAAAGACATAGTGCCTTCTCCTTTAGGAGAATGAGTTCTGCAGCTATCTTAATGGGTACTCTCTTTCCAAATAGCAAAACTGTTATGCTTCCTAAAGAACAGACAAAATATTTACACAGCTAGAAATTCAACTAAGAAACTAGAATTGTGTTTTATTAAAATGCCAAATATATCTTCAAGTTCTGAGAATCACAATTAATTCAAAAGTTAAGTAATCCAAAGTTTATTGCAACTTATTTCATAAATAGTTTCAGAAATATTTTTCCTGAAAGGCAGGCTCTAAAATATTTAGCAGGATTAAAATATCTTAACAAAATAAGTCGCGTGTTAGACTAAGATAAAGGCCTAGTATCATAGCTTGACATTACGGACTCAATACCATAAAAACCTTTGTCCTTCCATTTAGACTGTGATCTTGGTCACTTTGGCACTGCAAGCTCATCATGAGAGTGGGATAGAGGAGCTGATCTGCTAACCACATAGTCACTGTCTCGCTACTTCAGATTATTATTGGGCTTCAGAGAAGGATGGGGATGGTACATGACTTTCCTCTCTCTACCTATACCTTTAGCATCTGATACTTGTCCTTGCTTGTCTATAAAAGTTATTATATTTTAAGACAAGAAAACAAGGATCTAAAATATCACCCAAATTATACTTTAATCAAATTTATAATACAGGAAAATTCCATTTTTGGAATTGCATTCCACTGCACAATTCAGCGTACAAAGAAAAACAATCAATCATTTGGATAAATTCCATGTACTGATCATTCCCATTCAATCAGAATCTCAGGATCTTCCGATAATGCTAACTCTAGTGAAACTGAAGGCATAATATACAAGTGACATGAGAGACAGAAAGAGAGAGAGAATGTATGTGGGAGTATAATAGCTGACCTGCATTCAACTACAATGTTGTTATATTTTATATAGAAGATAATCATTATCCTAGATCCTTAGTAAAGTTAAATATATAAAATCTATATTAAATTTAGTTTTATAAGTACATTTACTTATAAGTATGCAATAATTGATAATTCCAGAAACAAAATAATTACTGTATACCTCTCCACCACCACCATACACAAACACACACAAAAAAAAAATCATTCTGGATAAACAACAGCCTAGAAACACACAGATTAGAAAGTCATTTTCTAATCCAGCAGATCCTTCTGTATCAACCTGGATCCAACATTTATATTTCCACACGGAAGAGCTCTTAAGAGCTCTACCTTGCTTGCTATAAATCTTCTAAGTCTGGAACCATTTTTCCTGGGTTTAAAAGTTACATATACTCTTTCATTTACTGTTTTGTTGTACTGCTAGAGGCAAAGAGATTAGAAAACATAACACCCCCTATGAAAGCTGAACAAGACAGGAAAAGAGATAACTACTGAAAAAACAAAACCAGTGACTCTTGACTCAAATGATCTGAATTCCAGTCCTTTATACCCAGGAAGTTGTTAATGACTTTGAGTCACATCATCTCTCTAAATCTTATTGACTACAGTACTATTTGAACAAAATAAGAAGTATGACCCAAAGCTACAGAGAAACCTTGCCTTGAAAAACCAAAAAAGAAGGAAGGAAGGAAGGAAGGAAGGAAGGAAGGAAGGAAGGAAGGAAGGAAGGAAGGAAGGAAGGAAGGAAGGAAGGAAGGATAAGAAGTATGACTACAAAGACATCCAAGGCTCTACAGTATCAGCTTTGAAGAATGTGTTTGTAAGCGCCTAGCTGTATGTACTGCTTCCTTCCTACTTACTTCTTTTGTGTCTCTCCATTTTCACACATTTTCCAAAATTCCTGTTTCAATGTGTTCATTGGTGATGGTCCACCTACTCAGCAACTAGACTAATGCTTCCTGAGCCTTCCACCAAGCTCGGAACACCTGCCTTCCTGCGCTCTTCTCTCTCTCTCTCTCTTTCTCTCTCTCTCTCTCTCTCTCTCTCTCTCTCTCTCTCTCTCTGGTTTTCTAAACCAGCTGTCATTTCCTAAAACACTGTGAGGGCCAATAAAGAAACAAGTTCTCTTGATGCTGTGTTTTCTGTAATGAAGGAACATAACATTAGGTTTTAGTTGTTGGCATCAGCACTTGACAGGACTTAATCACACATAAAATGTCATACTTTAAGGAACTTATCTATCCCAAGTAAGCATTATATCTTCCCCTTATGTTCCATAATGTTCAACAGCATCCAAAATGTGCATCAAAGTAATTTTAAAAATAACTTCATGAAATAACCTCCTGGGAGGTTAAAAAATGAGCTATTCTTTTAACCAATATTAAAGATACATATCCCTTTCTTAAGCAAATAAATAGAAACAGACAAAACAAAGATCCACTGAACAATAAAGAAAAACTAATATTAAAGAAATACTAATAATTATTACACATACCTACCTAGCAACAGAGTACATAAAGAGAAAATCATTGTCTGGTGAGCCTGGGGTCTTGCTATAGTCTCTGTATTTCTTCTGAGTGGTATTTTTAATATCTTTCATTACAGATTCCATTTCTTTACTTAGGTTGGTTTCTGACTATAAAAAAGTGAACATACATGTAAAGTTTATATTCATTTTCTTTAATAAAAGCTTAAAACTGAAATATTTATCAAATGAACACATTAGAAAATTAACACAAGTCAAAAGAGATGTAACATGAACAACTTTGCACAATGTAGTGTGCAAAAAAATAAATCAAAAATAAATCATTTTTTAAAGATTTATTTATTCAATATATATAAAGTATTCTGCCTGCATGTACACCTGCAGGACAGAAGAGGGCACCAGGTCTCATTACAGATGGTTGGGAGCCACCATGTAGTTGCTGGGAATTGAACTCAGGACCTCTGGATGAATTGTATTATAATTGTTTATTCAAATTCTGGATGGCAATTAATAATACTCAATTATGACTAAGCCAATTATAAATTATGAGTTAGCCACAAAAATTCTATTCTAATCTAATGAGTACATAATGCTAAATAATATTTTAGAACCATTACAGGTTTACAAAAAGCCGAACTTTATTTAAGATTGGTTTTCAAAGAAATATATTATCAGTATACCTTACTTTTAGGCAAATTTTAAACACATAAATTTGCATGCATGCACACACACACACCCTCAAATTCCAACTTGAGAAAGTAAATGCCAAGAAATGAATATGAGTTGTTTAATACAAATTTTTGTTCCAAAAGCTAAGTGTCTTTAGGGGCTAGGAATTATAGCTCAGTGGCACAGCACTCGCCTAGAGCATAAGAGGCCTTAAGTTCAATTCCCAACACTATAAAACTACAGGGTGGCAGGCATCTGTCACTTCTGTAGAGACCATAACAGAAATCTACAATATAGGTAAAACATTTTAAGAACTTAAATCACATAAATTCTGTTGATGGAGATTACAAAACAGATTCATTTATGCCAAATTCACATTATAGTAGACTAATTTATAGTGAATTGTTACATAGTATTTTCAGAGTAAATAAAGATGTGTGTAAATACTTTCTTTTTATTACATTATTTGGTGAGTGTACGCTTGTGTACATCTGAGTGGGCTACGTACTATGGCACATAGGTAGCAGAGGCCAGAGGAAAACTTGGGGTAGTCAGTTCTCCCCGTCTACCATGTGGGTCCTTAGAGATTAAATTCACATTGTCAAACTTAATCTGAATGTAACAAATATATTTTCAAATGATCACATTGTATTTGACACTTATGTTGTATATTATATTTGTACATAGAGACAAAAACAGAGAGTTGCATATCTCATAATGGTACAGAAAGGGCCACAGATATACTATGATAATCCCTTTGAAAAATAGTACCTACAGACATCAAAGCCATTTGGTTTATATAAATGCACTCTGATGTTCACACAATGGCAAAATTATCTACTGATACCATTTTCCAAATGTATCTATTGTTAAATAAACAATGTAACATATATACTTTTTGTTTTGCTTTGTTTTTAAATATTTCAACTTCTTTAAAAAGCCTAACCATTTAAGCTTGTGCCGGCTATTCTTATGTCAATTTGATACAAAGTAGAATCATCAGAGCAGAGGGAGACTCAGCTGAGGAAAAGGCCTCCATAAGGTCAGGCTACAGGCAAGCCTGTAAGGCATTTTGTTAGTTAGATGGAGGAAGGCCCAGCCTACTGTGTGGGTGAGACCATCCCTGGGCTAATGGTCCTGGGTTCTATAAGAAAGAGGCTGAGCAAGCCACTTGGAGCAAGCCAGTAAGCAGCACCACTCCATGGCCTGCCTCTACATCAGCTCCTGCCTCCAAGTTCTTTCCCTGTGTGAGTTCCTGTCCTGACTTCCTTCAGTGATGAACAGTGATGTGAAATCAAATCCTTTCCTCCCCAAGTTGCTTTTGGCCATGGTGTTTTGTCACAGCAATGACAACCCTAACTAGGACAAAGCTTAAGTTCACAATCTGGACGATAGCCTTAATACATTAAATTATAATGATTTTGACTAAGGAAAAGTATAGGGCCTAATAATTTCTAATATTTTCATTCTGTTTTTAATAAGCACAACCAAAAACCTCTAAAAATCAATTTCTAGTAAATCAATTTCTTTATACATTTCTACTAAATGTATAAAGGCCCAGGATAATTTAGGGAAAAAAGAAAAGAGTGTAGATATAGCAGGGAAGATGTGGGGAGGAAGGGAGGGAGGAACGGAGGGAAGGAAAGACGGAGGGATGGAGGGAACTGAAAAACAAACTAAGTTAATAAGTTAACCAGGATATTTTCTGCCTTACACTGATGCTTACTGGGAAAGCTCCCGGTCGTCCCTGCAGCTCCTCCACTTCCTTTATGAGATCTTGTGTGCTTTTGTTACTAGGACGTTGCCAAAGGTTACTTTCCACATTGCTTCCAGGATAACATGGAAGAACACTGTTAGCAAACTGTCTACAGAGGGGACATGTGAATTCTCCTTTGTCCACTGAGAAGCCCTGAAGAACCTGGTCATTCTGAAAGATGAAACAAACATGCAGATATCTGATGCACACATTTGCAGCAAACAAAAATTGCAATACCAGATTTTACAGTAAACTCACATACATATCAAAGGCATCTCTAAAATGTCACAAAGAAATAAAATCTCTGGTTTAGTTGTCAAGGGGTTTTGGGTTTTTTTTTTTTTTTTTTTTTTTGGAGGGGGACTTGGTTTTTCAAACAGGGTTTTTCTGTATAATAACCCTGGTTGTACTGGAACTCACTCTGTAGACCAGGCTGAGGCTGGTCTCAATCTCACAGAGATCCAACTGCCTCTGTCTCCTGAGTGCTGGGCTGAAAGGCGTGTGCTACCACTGCCTGGCCTGAAGCACTTCTTATAATACAGCATTATACCAAATCACACACAAGACACTATCTTCTTTCCTAACCAATACTGCACTTTTCCTCCATATACAAACCTCTTTAATATCTTTCTCTGAGGAAGTTACATAAAGTCTCAAGTGTTTATATGGACCACAAAGCTCTTTACAATCAGATTTCTAATTAGTTCTTCAAATATACAAATATAGATATAATGACTCAAAAGTACCTTCATTCATAAAATGTTATGGCATTTGCAAATGGTCACTAGGACCCTGTGTATACCTGACAACAGTTAGCACTCTTGTCCACCAACTGCACAAAAGACGGCTAATTTGACTGTCAACGTGCCAGACCTACAACTTCTGATGGAGTGCCTAGACTGAGTCAGCTGAGACGGGGAGGAGCAGCACTGGGGTCCAGACTAGGAGAAAACAAGCAGAGCACTAGCATTCATCTCTCTGCCTTCTGACTGTGGGTCAGTGTGGGCAGTCCTTTATGCTCATGCCTCCATGTCTTCCCTGCCATGCTGGACTGTACTCTCAAACTGGGAGCCAAGAAATCCTTCCTTCCTTGCTTTTTCCTTTGCTTCATTCTATTGCTTGTCAGGTATATCATCACACAATGAGAAAAGTAACTAATAAACACCATGAATTCTTTGAAGAAAGATGTCTTATTTATTGTCCCCAGGATTCATCACAGAATCTACAATGCTCTAGAACCTAACAGTTCATAACAATGCATAATGTGCTTAAGAACCATTAGCTTATTAATCCTGACAACAGGCAAGCTCAGACAATGCAGTACATGAATGGCATTCAGAGAAAAAGTAAGCTTCATTCTACCAGGAGGAAAACAAAAAGTATTGATATATGTCACAACAGATTTACATTTTAGGAAGATAGTAAATAAATTAGAGTAAGGAAAGTATTGAAAACAACCACAAAAATCAAGTCAAAAGAGGACATATATGTGCCAGGTGGTGGTGGTGCACACCTTTAATCCCAGCACTTGGGAGGCAGAGACAGATGGATCTCTGTGAGTTTGAGGCCAGTCTGCAAGTTCCACAACAGCTAAGGCTATACAGAGAAACCCTGGGGGCTGGGGAAGGCATACACAAAATATTAGTGGAAACAATGAAGGCAGAATTAATGCCAAGTGACACTCCAGAACATCCAATAGAATCCTGGCTAGTGACTGACCATGAGTGATGAGGAATAGGAAGGAGAAAAATGCTCCTGAATTAAGGATCTTTAAAAACATGAAATTTACTTTTATGGTAGAAATATTTTTAAGAAGCTGAAAGACTAAAAAAGACTTCAGTTGTGTGGAAGGTCAAAGGAAGATTTGAATGAAGCAGACCTGAGTATCTTTATATACTGAGAAGAGACAGGAGACAGCAAAGCAACACAATCAGAAAGATGTTATCTTCAATCATGGCTTCTGCAGTGCTGGAGACAAAGGGCTCCTGGACTACAGACAGCAGCAGGAACACTACTCCAGAAGCAGAAAGGAAAGACATGCTGGCATACGTCACTTGCTAGGGAACTGCACTTTACATGAAAGGAGATAAGGGTGTGATGAAGACACACTGAAATTTTGGTGGGATAAGCAGAAACAGAATCTAATGAGTGAAGTTCTTAGGATTTAGAAGTATCTGGATGTAGGAAGGCAAAGACCTGAAATAGCTGCTAAGGCAAACAGGAAAGAGACATGATGAAAGCAGAGAGATAAATGAATAAGTGCATTTATGGGCCATGAACATAATCTCAGTCGCTGACATAGGAAATCCTATGTTTAGACAATAGTTCACTTTGTCTTGTGATTTTCTACCATCTTCTGGCTCACTTCTACATCAAATCAAAGGCAGCTGGTCAATGCTTGGGAATAAAGACAGACGAGGCTCAGTACAAGACAGTGAAGCTAATCAACTAGGAAATGTGCAGAGGTTAAAAGTGCTGGGCAGGGAAAGTAAGACAGGGTGATCATGTAAAAACATGATCCATATAGCACTTAGAGCAACAATAGCCAAGACTAATGGGGAGTCGTGGGAGTTAGCAGCTAATACATAAAAAACACGATCCCTCAGACTGGAGAGGGGAACTGGATGTGTATGGTATAAAAAAGAACTAATGCCTGGAAAGAAAACAGGTATCTTTAAATTTTTTTTCTAATCAACTTACCCGTAATGATTCCATATAAGATTTATGACAATCTATGTGTAACGTGTGGCCACAAGTTTGTACATAAACACCTCCTTCCCAGCCAATTGATACTGCCAAAAGGCAAGAACTCTTCAAAGAGAAAAAAAAGACAAAAGAATATTAACTTTAAAGAATTATTAACATAAAATTATGAACATACTAAAATACGCCCAAGAAATCATCCAACCAAACCTGCCATCTTTTTATGCATAGCCTAATGCACAGGTTGTAGTTTTATGACATAAATTAATAAATGACTAGACAGTCCTAAGGCAAGATCTCTAAAATTAGAATACTATAAGTTTTAATTTCCAAATATCTTTTCCTGTCTCTCATTTTATCATTTGATCTGCCAACCAACATTTTTTTTTCTGGACTAAGATTCATTCCTTTTTTGTTTTCATAATTGTTTTTAATTGAGCTATATATTTTTCTCTCCTCCCCTCCCTTCCTTTCCCCTCCCATTCTACTCTCCCTTGCTCCCCATGCTCCCAATTTACTCAGGAGATCCTTTTTTTCTTCTACTTCCTATGTAGATTAACTAGATCCATGTATGTCTTTCTTATGGCCCTCATTGTTGTCTAGATTCTCTGGGATTGTGAATTGTATGCTGGTTTTCTTTGCTTTATGTCTAAAAGCCACTTATGACTGAGTACATATGATATTGTCTTTCTGGGTCTGGGTTACCTCACTCAATATGATGTTTTCTAGATCCAACCATTTACCCACAAATTTCAAGATGTCATTGTTTTTTTCTGCTGTGGTATAAATGTAGCACATTTTCCTTATCCATCCGAGGGGCCTTTAGGTTGTTTCTAGGTTCTGGCTATGACAAACAATGCTGCTATGAACATAGCTGAGCACATGTCCTTGTGGTACAACTGAGCATCCTTTGGGTATATACCCAAAAGTGGTATTGCTGTGTCATGAGGAAGGTTGTTTTCTAATTTTATGAGAAATTGCCATACTGACACACAAAGGGGCTGTACCAGTTTGCACTTCCACCAGCAATGGAGGAGTGTTCCCTTTATCCCACAACCTCTCCAGCATAAATTGTCATCAGTGTTTTGATCTTGGCCATTCTTACAGGTATAAGATGAAATCTCAGAGTTGTTTTGATTTGCATTTCTCTGATGACTAAGGTTGTTGAGCATTTCCTTAACTGTCCTTAGGCCATTTTATATTCCTCTGTTGAGAGTTCTCTGTTTAGGTCTGTAGCGCCCCCCCCTTTTTATTGGATTATTTCTTCTTTTTATGACAAATTTCTTGAATTCTTCATATATTTTGGAGATCAGCTTTCTGTCCAATGTGGTGATGTGGGAGTGTCATATATCAATCTGTTGATTTCATTGGCTGAGCAATAAAGAAACTGCTGGCCCTGATAGGTTAAAAGATAGGTGGGCGGAATAAACAGGATAGGATGCTGGGCGGAAGAGGAAGTGAGGTCAGACTCTGCTCTGCTCCCGGAGAGACCCGACAGCTCTGCTGGAGCAGAGACGCCATGCTCAACTCTCCCAGGATGGACAGAGGCTAGAATCTTCCCAGTAAGCGCACCTTGGGGTGCTTACACACATTATTAGAAATGGGCTAGTCCAGGTGCGAGAATTAGCCTGTAAGGGCTAGAGTTCATGGGCCAAGCAGTTCTTAAATGAATACAGTTTGCGTGTTGTTATTTCAGGCATGAGCTAGCCAAGCGGCCGGGGTGTTGGGGACGCAGCCCCGCCGCTCATATTTCAACAATGTGGGGTTGGTGAAGATCTTTTCCCATTCTGTAGACTGCTGTTTTGTCTTGTTGACCATGTCCTTTGCTTTACAGAAGCGTCTCAGTTTCGGGAGGTCCCATTTATTAATTGTTGTTCTCAGTGTCTGTGCTACTGGGGTTATATTTAGGAAGTGGTCTCCTGTGCCAATGTGTTCGAGTGTACTTCCCACTTTCTCTTCTATGAGGTTCAGTGTGATTGGTTTTATGTTGAGGTCTTTGATCCATTTAGACTTGAGTTTTGTGCATGGCAATAGATATGGATTTATTTTAATTCTACATGTTGATATGAAGTTATGCTAGCACCATTTGTTGAATATGCTTTCTTTTTTCCCACTTTATAGTTTTTACTTCTTTGTCAAAAATCAGGTGTTTGTAGATGTGTGGGTTGATATTTGGGTCTTTGATTTGGTTCCATTGGTCCTTTGTCTATTTCTATGCCAATATCAGGCTGTTTTTAGTACTGTAGCTCTGTATTAGAGCTTGAAGTCAGGGATTGTGATACCTCCAGAAGTTCATTTACTGTACAGGATTTTTTTTTTTTTGCTATCCTGGGATTTTTGCTTTTCCATATGAAGTTGAGTATTGTTCTTTCGAGGTCTGTGAAGAATTTTGCTGGGATTTTGATGGGCATTATTGCATTGAATCTGTAGGTTGCTTTTGGGAAGATTACCATTTTTACTTTGTTAATTCTGCCTACCCAAGAGCATGTGAGATCTTTCTATTTTCTGGTATCTTCTTCAAAGATTTAAAGTTCTTGTCATACAGGTCTTCCACTTGTTTGGCTAGAGTTACTCCAGCAATTTGTGGCTATTGGGAAAGGTGATACTTCTCTGATTTCTTTCTCTCTCATTTATCATCTGTGTAAAGGAGGGCTACTAATTTTTTCAAGTTAATCTTGTATCCTGCTACATTAATGAAGGTGTTTATGAGTTGTAGAAGTTCCTTGGTAGAATTTATGCGGTTGCTTATGTAAACTACCATATCATCAGTAAATAGTGAGAGTTTGACTTCTTTTCTGATTGTCTTATTGTTCTAGTTAGGACCTCAGGAACTATATTGAATAGATATGGAGAGAATGGTCAACTTTGTTTTGTTCCTGATTTCAGTGGGATCGCTGTGAGTTTCTCTCCATTTAGTTTGATGTTGGCTGTTGGCTTGCTGTATTATGTTTAGGCCTGGTGTTTGTATCCCTGCTCTTTCCAAGACCTTTATCATGAAGGGATGTTATATTTTGTGGAAGGCTTTTTCAGCATCTAATGAGATCATCATGTGGTTTGTTTGTTTTTTTTTTTCAGTTTGTTTTTATGGTGTATTACATTGACAGATTTTCATATGTTGAACCATCCCTACATCGGTGGGATTAAGACTCCTTGATCATGGTAAATAATATTTTTTTTTGTTTTTTGTTGTTGTTGTTGTTGTTGTTTTTTGGTTTTCGAGACAGGGTTTCTCTGTGGCTTTGGAGCCTGTCCTGGAACTAGCTCTGTAGACCAGGCTGGTCTCGAACTCACAGAGATCCGCCTGCCTCTGCGTCCTGAGTGCTGGGATTAAAGGCGTGCGCCACCATCACCCAGCTGGTAAATAATTTTTCTGATATGTTCTTGGATTCAGTTTGCCAGTATTTTATTTAGTATTTTTGCATTAATGTTCATGAGTGAAATTGGTCAGTAACTCTTTCTTAGTAATTTCTTTGTGTGGTTTGGACATCAGAGTAATTGTAGCCTTATAAAATGTCTGACAATGTTACTTCTGTTTCTATTGTGTGGAAAAATTTAAGGAGTATCGGTATTAGTTCTTCTTTGAAAATCTTGTAGAATTCTGTGCTGAAACCACCTGGCCCTGGGCTTTTTTTGGTTGGGAGCCTTCTGATGGCTGCTTCGATTTCTTTAGCAGTTATAGGTCTGTTTAATTTGCTTATCTGGTCTTGATTTAATTTTGATAAGTAATATTTATCAAAAAAAAACTGTCCATTGACTAGGATTCATTCTAATGTACACAATGCCTTCCTTACTAGAACTGTAAGTTCCTCCCGAGGCATCAGAAACCTCACTTCCATGGGCTGTGGAAGCAAACTGCTCGAACTGTCTTGTCACCTCGCCACTTACTGTTAACAATAAGGAAGTAGTGTGCCTTGCATCTGTGCTACTGACAGTGCACATCTCAATCAACAGATTCACAGGCAAGAAAGATCTATTTGGAAAGCAATTAAAACAATCTACAGTAACTAAAAATAACAATAAGTATTTTAAACTATTATATGTTTATCTAATTCAGAATTTATTAGTTTCAATCTACAAAAGGAAGGAGATCTTATTTATAACCTCCTCAAAAAATAGAAAAAAATAAAAATTGACACAGCAATTTTACTTTTTTTTCTCAGTGCTGCAGATGGAAGCCATGGCCTCACACATGGTAGGGAAGTGCTCCAGTGATCTTAAAAAGAAGTTAGCAATGTCACTGCTGTTGAGGTAACGTTTAAAGTCTTGGGACACTACTAATGCGGTTACAGCTGAAAAGAGGCTGGAAAATAAGCGACCAAGCTCACAGGAAGTAAGAGAACACAGTCTATTATATTTTTAAAATATCACATGAAAATTCTAGTATTCATCCTTTCACAAAAGTAAAATGTGGTTAAAAACCTGCATAAAATATTTACACACTACATGAATTATTTGAAGAGTTAATACTTATTCTTTCATTAAAATAAATTATGTAGACTACACAATAAACAACATTTAAAACATATATCACACTTACTGCTTGACCTTTTGTATAAGGTTGAGAGACATCAAAAGATAGTTTCAGTTGGTAATGCAAGTTATAATAAAAAGTGAATTAGGTACAAGACTTGGGACTCACCAAGATAGAATTATTTTCTCTGGATTGGCAAATGCAAATGGACTGGACATTGTTGGTATACTTATTTCCTATACATATTGTATATAGTTTTTCTTATATTAGCTATAGCTTTCTTTATTGTAGACAAAAGGGGGAAATTTAGTGATATTTTGTATGTAATCTAATAAATAAAGCTTGTCTGAATATCAGAATGCAGAGCTAAGCCCCTAGTTAGCCATAGAGACCAGGCAGTGGTGGCACACACATTTAATCCCAGGACTCAGGAGACAAAGGCAGACAGATCTCTCTGAGTTCAAGGTCACCATGGGCTACACAAGATTGAATCTGTCTAAAAGAGAAGCAGAGCTCATACAAAGATGATCCCAGCACTTGGGATCCCATGTCATTAATCCCAGCACTAGGGAGGTGGAGACAGGAGTGATAGGGCTGGACAGAAGAACTCAGATGCAATCTGAGCATTCAATCTGAGGTTTCATAGAGACAACAGCAGTCTGAGGTTTCGGAGAGTCTGTCTGAGGTTTCGTGGAGACCGCATGCAGTCTAAGGTTTGTAGAGAGAGAGAGTCTAAGAATTCATAGAAACAGATTGCCCCTTTTGGACTGAGCATTGGTAGAGGTAAGAACTCCCAGAACTGATGCCCTCCTATGACCTCCAAAGGAACCAGGTATACACAAGACACACTTACATACATGCAGGCAAAACAGGTATATACATATATACATAAAAAATAAACAAACAAACGAATGGATAGATAGATAGATAGATAGATAGATAGATAGATAGATAGATGATAAACAAATAAATAAAGCAAGCTATTGGGTGCTAGGGCTATAGCTCAGTGGTAGAACTCTTGCTTAGCATGCATAAGACCCTAGATCCAATCTCTAGCACTATTAAAAAAGTTGAAATTGTTTGATAATAAAAATACTTACATCTTTAAAATAACGCTGCAATAAGGAAAGTCTCACGTCATGAACTGCTGCACATGTGTCCCATGGGTAAATCTGTTCCTCCTCAGTGATAGGCAGCTTTTTTGGTTCAGCATTGTCCCGGCACTGCCCTAAAACTAAGTAACGACAGAGACAAAAGTTCACTAAATAATACAAAGATCTAAATAACAACCCAGGTCCTTCACAACAACCAACAGTAAATTTCAAATTTTTCAAATATTTTTAAATATCAAAAATTAAAATTCTACTTAAGTATCAGTCACTAATATTTAAATCTCTTATTCTGAAATTCTGAAGACCTTAATTTAAAAAAAAGTAGCTGCCAAGCCTGGTGGTACACACCTTTAATCCCTGCACTAGGAAGGCAGAGGCAGGCAGATCTCTGTCAATTTGAGGCCAGTCTGGTCTACAGAGTGAGTGAGTTTCAGAACAACCAGGACTATGTAAAGAGACCCTGTCTCAACAAAACAAAACAAAACAAAAAGAGAAGTTTTTTTTTTAATAAATAAAGGCACAAATAGGACAGTTTACTATTAAAATAATATTGAGATATGGTGGCACAGTCCTTTAAACTCAGCTCTTGAGAGGAGAGGCAGGAGGAACTCTATGAGTTCCAGGCCAGTCAGGGCCATAAAGTGAGACCCTGTCACAATAATAAAATGAAATGAGTGTGAATGGATGATTTCCTAAGTCTGTCTCACACACACACACACACACACACACACACACACAAAACCTAGAAACAATGACTTTCCCTCATTTTTTAATATGTTATTAAAAGAAAGCAAAGCTGCTTAGAGAAAACAATGAGCCCAAAGCTGGAGAAAAGCGGGAGGTGAGCCTGAATTACATGTGACAAAGAGAAGGCTTCCATTACTAAGCAGATACCCTTTAAGGACCAAGGCCAAATTAAAGAAATTTAGTATCAGAAAGAATGGTGCCAAAGTCAGATGTTACATTCACAGACTCAGGCAAGAAACACCCAGTGAAAGACAAAAGGCCAATGTGTCACCGATGGAGCACTCTGACATGGAAGCCTCCTAAAGTGATGCCATCAGAAGGAACATGCTGTGGACTACCCTCTCCTAAGTGTTTACTCTGGACCTCACAGTAAGAAAATAATCACACAAATCCACATGTTTCGTCTATGGAATAGCCAATCAGAGAAAGGCTCTGAGAAACTGCTCTAAATTAAAGGAGAGCCACACAAATGACCACTAAAGACAAGAAATACATGCGATACAAAGAAATGACGGGTAGGTGAGGTGAAAGATGTATCAATTAGCTGTACATAACTCACTCTACAATATATACATGTATCAAAACATCACAATTACTAGTCAGAGAAACAAAAAAGTCAGATAATTAGGAGAATTTGAATATAGACATAATATATAATATTAAATTTACTGAGTATGACAGTAGTGCTGTTTTTATATAAGATAACGTCCTTGATTTTCTTCTGGAAAAGGGTGTTTACATCCACAGGCCTATGTGTGCATGTGTTTTCTAGTGCACAAAGTATCAAATGTGTTTACATTCACAGGCCTATGTGTGCTGTGTTTTCTAGTGCACAAAGTATCAAATGTGTTTACATCCACAGGCCTATGTATGTATGTGTTTTCTAGTGCACAAAGTATCAAATGTGTTTACATCCACAGGCCTATGTGTGCATGTGTTTTCTAGTGCACAAAGTAGCAAATGTGGCGATACAGGTACAACTAGCAGCAGTAAAAGGGATTTAGTTGTCCATAGACACAAAACACTGAGAAAAAATTACGAAGACAGACATAAATATGACTAAGGCTACAATTTTGTAAGTATAAAACATCAAAACCCAAAAGAAGGACTACACAGACAAGAATATCACACAGGGCATGTACTTCCAAAGCACCACTGCCAATAGCTTATGTATGTTTGTTTTTAATGTGTCACTGAAAAAAGAATGGTAATTTTTTAATGCATTTGCATGGGAAGAGCTGCTTTGGAGGATGGGACTCTAAGGTATATCACATTGCAGCTGGGTTTTGGAGATTTATAGTAGCTATAGAAATAAAGCAAAGAATCAAGGGAATGCTCACAGATAAAACACACAATGTACAATACACTTAATACACTCCCAAACTCATTCACAAGAATTTTGAAGGCTTTTGCATCTACACTTAGTAATGCATTCTAGTAATTGTGTGGTGTGGAAAATCCGTCTATGTGTTAGCTTTTATTGGTTAATAAAGAAGCTGTTTTCTGCTAGAGTAAAGCCAGGATGAAAGAGATATACAGAGAGCGTAGATGGAGTCAAAGAGAAGCCATGTAGCCACCACTGGGGACAGATGCTTCCCCTAGAGCCCGCCAAAGCTATGCCCATAGGCCACGACCTCATGGTGATGCACAGACTAATGGAGATGGGTTAGTTTAGGATATAAGTTTAGGAGTAAGCTAGCAATATGCTCAAGCTATTGGCCAAACAGTATTGCAAATAATGTAGTTTCTGAGTGATTATTTCATGGTCTGGGGAGCTGGGAATAAACAAGCAGCCTCCACCAATACTTGGTTATCAAGGGAATGCTAAACTTCCCATGGTATTTTTGAAAATGTTCCTTCCTCTGTATTTTTTGAACAAGTTTTAGATGGCTTGGAACTAATTGTTTTAATTTTCAACAGAATTCACTATCCTATACTTTGCTGACAGGGGTTCTGATCCTCCTGCCTACATGCCTCCTGAGTCCTGAGATTATAGACATGTACCATTACTTCCTAGTCATGCATTCAACTCGAAGTTTTGTGCATGTCAGCATGTATTCTACCAACTGAGCTGCATAGTGAGCTCAAGCATTTCACCTTCAATCTACTTGCATCTTCAAGTCCAAAGTGAATTTCTTTAAAAAAAAAAAAAAAGATTTTATTTTATTTGTACCTTATGTGCATTGATGTTTTGGCTGCATATTTGTCTAGGTAAGGGTGTCAGATCCCCTAGAACTGGAGTTATAGACAGTTAAGAACTGCCATCTGGGAGCTAAGGATTCGACCTGGGTCCTCTGGAAGAGCAGCCAGTGCTCTTAAGCATGAGCCATCTCGTCAGTCCTACAGTGCCATCTCGTCAGTCCTACAGTGAAGTTCTTATCCATAGCATACAGTATGGTCATTTTTTAAAATATGTCACTCTCCACATTCTAACTAGGAAATTAAGTTCATTGTATTTCAAGTGACTGCCGACACAGAACTTGACTCTGCAATCACGCTATTTTGTTTTCTACTTGTCCTTCATTCATTCATTATTGTTCTCTTGCACAATTAAATTTTCTAGTATGGAATTTTGAGTCCCTTCCCATTTTCTTTTAATATGGATTTATTATTATTATTATTATTATTATTATTATTATTATTATTATTATTATTTTGCTGAGAAGATCATTTTTGTGGCTACCTGGAGGACAGAATTAACAACTTCACTTTGTAACAGTGAACTCTGAATTAATATCTACTTATTTTCAATAACATATAAGCCTCTTTTCCATTTCGTCCTCCACCTCACCTCTGTGTTTCTGTGTAATATCTACACTATTTATGTAAGAAAACACCAACACTTGGTTTAAAATCTAGATATACAGACTAATTTCCTCATACATCCTGTTGCAGAAGAACTAAATCCATCACGACTACATTGTCTAAGAACTATTACTACTTCAAAATTCCTCAGAATGGGAAAGGAAGAACAACATTTCAACAGATAGCTTGGCAAACAGAGCAATTTCCATGCTGTGTCAAGAAGTACTTCTGTCTACTGTTTTAAAAACCCAAGAATCCAAAGCAGAACTGGCAGGACACGCCACATGTAACTAGAATATTGAAGCGAAGAATGGTAGATGTAGGAGGTTTGTAGATTCTAGAATAGTGAACAAGAAAGCTGAATTCTAACACTAGCTCTCATCTAGTACTAACAGCTTCTGTTCTGGATGCCACTGTCTACAATGTTTCTATTAAAAGTTTCTTTGACTTCACCTGATGATGCTTGCAACAGTACAACCAGTCCTGCAGGTCTGTCCTCAGAAGAAGGCCCACTCTGTCCACAGATAACACAGTCGTACACAGCCTCAGACACTTGTGGCTCTGCTGCGGCAATTTCCATAGGAATCTCGTTCTCAGGAGAATCTGGAAAGGAAAGCCATAACTCTTACAAGAAAAGTCCCTTTCAATAAGCCCTTATTCCCAAAGACCTACTTCAAATACTTTTCAAGTCAAATACTAACAAAGTTGCATCATAACACAACTACTGAGACTCTTATTCAAGTAAAATGTTAACTCTAAGACCACAAATGTGAAGTGATAAAAACAACTTTGAGTAATTTATGACTCAATATTTTTTATGTTGTACCAATTACAGATAAAAATTGACACTAAAAAAACAGAAACAAAAACATCTATGTAAGGGGCTGGAGAGATGGTTCAGCAGTGAAGAGCACTGACTGTTCTTACAGAGGTCCTATTCCCAACAACCGTGTGGTGGCTCATAACCATCTATAATCTGATGATCTCTTCTGTCATGAAGGCATGCATGCAAATAGAGCATTCATATACATACATTAAAAAATTTTAAATCTATGTAAGAGAAAATTTTAATTAAATTTTTAAAAATAATTTATTTATTTATTATGAATACAATGTTGTGCCTGCATGTTTGCCTGCAGGCCAGAAGAGGGCACCAGATCTCATTACAGATAGGTGTGAGCCACCATGTGGTTGCTGGGAATTGAACTCAGGACCTCTAGAAGAGCAGCCAGTGCTCTTAACCACTGAGCCATCTCTCCAGCCCCCTTTAATTAAATTTTAAGGAACAAATAAAAATCATTAGTTTCCATTTATTTTGAGATTAGGAAGAAAAGAAATTTATAAGATGGCAACTCTTTGAAAATTGGTAGTAGTAGGGGATAATGGAGGGAAAACTGCTTCCTAATTCTCTCAGTAATATTCAGTAATAGTCATCAATGTTTAGAGAATACAGAAGATAACAGTGATCTGTTAATATATCATAAACAACAAGGAATTAAGACACACCAGCAGACAGAGAAAGATAATCATGAGGTATTTTCTCATATATTCAGAAAATGATAAACTTAAAGATGATAATCTGAAAGCAGTGAAGGAAATATTATAGGAAGAGGAAAGGGAAGAAGGAAGGGTAAGCATAAATATATTTTTTAAAAGACTATTCATATTCTACCACCATATAGGAAAATGGTATTCCTTATCATTATAAAAATTCTAAAGCCAATATGAATTAAAAGGTGTGCATGATTTTTCAAAATATCAATGTGATGAAACAAAGAGACACCCAAAAGTGTTCTTAGAAATCATTACAAGGATCTTAGGCTAACATCAGAGAACAACACCAAAATAAATCATCAAATACTTACTGACAGACCTGACACACGTGAGGGACAGATTTATAGAGAACAGAGAGGGCTCTTCTTAACTACTGCCTTTGTTCTACAACACAATGGCTATAATAAAGACCTGATCCAAGGCAGGCAAGACGGTGCAGTGGGTAAGAAGGGTATTTCCGCCAAGCCTGATCACCTAAGTTCCATGCCCAGAATTTGCATGATAGAAGTAGAAAACTGACTCCACACAGCTGTCTTCTGACCTCCACATGTGCTGTGGTTCCAGCTCACTTGTGCCCATGTGCACACACCATAATTAAGAATTATTCCAAGCCCTCCATTTCTCTACTTTAAATAAAGACTGTAAATTATCCATACTATATATATATAATATATTATATATTTAGAGCTGCTGAGAGTTTAAATCAAACTATTCCTATAAATAAGAACTAATTGTGAGAGTTTCAAGCTAAAATTCTGACTTACCAACATCCATTGCAGTTTCCATAAAGCTTTTCTGTCGTGAGGCAAACTCTGCGAGCAATTTCTGCTGCCTTTCTCTAGCCTTTTGTCGCCTAAAGAGAAATGAAGTTGTGAGTACATAGTGTGCTCAACACTAATCTACTGGTTGGCGGCCACGCAATCAAGAACAACCTGTTTTTTATATTACATATGAAATATCATGTAAGATTTAAATGTCTCTGAAACAATTCTATCCCTTCTAAAAGACTTCAAACCCACTGTGTGCATAAGCAAAACTAAAGCAGTACCTACAGTATGAAACAATGGGGTAGACAGAAAATCCTAAACGTCCTACCAGGGAACTCTGACAGCTGGTAAACACTTTCAACAAAGTGACTGGGTACAAGATTAACTCAAAAAAAAAAAAAATCAGTATCCCTCCTATATAAATGACAAACAGACCGAGAAAGAAATCATGGAAACAACACCTTTCACAACAGCCTCAAATAATATAAAATACCTTGGGGTAACACTAATCAAGCAAGTGAAAGACCTGTATGACAAGAACTTCAAATCTTTGAAGAAAGAAACTGGAGAAGATAGAAAACTCTCCCATGCTCATGGATCAGGTTTAATATACTAAAAATTAATTGGGATTAATATAGCTAAAATGGCCATATTTCTAAAAACAACAGATCCAACACAATTCCCATAAAAATTCCAACACAATTCCTTACAGACCTTGAAAGGGCAATTGTCAACTTCAAATGGAAAAACAAAATGCCCGGGATAGCTAAAACAATTCTGAACAATAAAAGAATTGCAGGATGTCCGACCATCCCTGATTTCAAGTTGTACTACAAAGTTACAACAATAAAAACCACATGTTACTGGCATAAAAACAGTCATGCTGATTAATGGAACTGATTGAAGACCAAGACATAAATCTACACACCTATGTGCATCTGAGTTTTGATAGAGAAGACAAAAATACACACTGGAAAAAAAAGACAGAATCTTCAACAAAATTATGCTGGTCAAATTGGGCATCTGCATGTAGAAGAATGTGAAAAGGTCCATATTTATCATCCTGCATAAAACTCAAGTCCAAGTGGATCCAAGACCTCAAAAGAAAACCAAATATGCTGAATCTGATAGAAGAGGAAGTAGAGAATAGCCTTGAATGCCTTGGCCCAGGAAACAACCTTCTGAACAGAACACCAATAGCAAAGGCACTAAGATCAACAATTAATAAATGGAACCTCAAGAAATGAAACTGAAAAGCTTCTGTAAGGAAAAGGATATCATCAGTAGGACAAAACGGCAACATATCAAATGGAAAAAGATTTTTACCAACTCCACATCTAACAGAGGACTAATTTCCAAAATACATAAAGAACTCAAGAAATTAGGTATCCAAAAAACAACAAACCCAATTAAAAAGAGGAGTACAGATCTAAATAGAATTCTCAATTAGAGGAAACTCAAATGGATAAGAGGCACTTAAAGAAATGTTCAACATCCTTAGCCATCAGGGAAATGCAAATCAAAATAACTCTGAGATTCCTTCTTACACCTATCAGAATGGCTAAGATCAATCACACAAGTGACAGCTCATGTTGGAGAGGATAGTTTTGAATGCATAAGAACAGGTAAAAAATAGTAACAACGTCTTTTCTCTTCAGCCTCTAATGCCAAAAAAAAAAAAAAGACACACATAAATTTTTCCAGTTCTCTTCACTAAGAACACATGAAAATAGCTATATTTCATTAGAAAAAGAACAAGGATTAAGTTTCTAAATCCCATTATCTAGTAAAAAGCAACGAGAACTCCATAGGAAATGGCTGGCTTCAAGTGCAAGATTAGCCTGGAAGATCACTCTGCCTACAAAAAGGAGTATGTTCAAGGCATGATAAGAACTGATCAAAAGGGATAAAGATCTTACCATTTAGGAACTCTTAGTGGCTAAATCTGGAACATCTGATCATCAGAATACATCAGGTAGATGATAACTCAAACTAAAGCAAGAACTTCATGAGCCCATGACTAATGAAAATGAATAGTACCTTCACAGGTGATAAATGAGAAATTAGAGAATCTCAAAGAATCACCCTACTGTAAATGATGTACTCATTACAAAGGAGCAGCATAAACAGTGCAGAAGTCTGGCAGGCAGCTCCCTAACCAGCACTCAATTGTAAACACGAATGGCAGACTAGCCCATAGGAGGCAGTCTAAAATCAACCACTGTCCTAACCCTTCAGAGATTCAAAATCATGAAAATAAAAAAAAAAAGATGGAGAAACTGTTCCACTTTAAAAGAGATTAAAAAAAAAGATTCAACAACTAAATTAAATGAGCAATTATGAAGTGGATGTTTCTTTGATGAGAAACTTTGAACAACTGTTTAAACATGGGGTCTTATAATGTAATCATACTTAAAATACAAGGTTAACTCCTTAATCTTGTAGTTCTACTTTGATTATATAAAAAAGGGTTTTTACCCCTAGGCACTACACACTGAAGTATCCCAGTGTGGAGGGTAACACACCAGCAACTTACTCTGAAACCTTCAGCAAGTTCCTGGTACTGTCCTTAATCCATCTCTCTACATTTAACATTACTTTGAAATGAAAGCCCATAAAAATCTAACTGTATTCTCAGAGAAGAACTGTTCATTGTGTGGACAGTCGAAGCACTCCACAAGCGATGCAGAAATGCTGATAGACAGTAACTTTGATTAATCCATGGGTGGTCTCTTTCACCAGCACTAGGTGAGCTCTGAAGTCTCAGAATTTTTTTTTCATTAATGCCAATCTACATCTCATTTCTAAGTATATGCCAACAAAACAATATACCAAAAGTAAATCTGCATATCAAATATAAGAGAATCTCTGGTATAACTAAAATCAAAATGCATCTCTCGGGTGCTGGAAGGATGGCTCAGTAGCTAAGAGCATTCACTGATCTTGCAGAGGATCTGGGTTTGGTTCCCAACCACCATGTGGCAGCTCACAACCATCTGTAATTTGTTTCAGGGTAGCCAGCACCCTCTTCTCACCTCCACAGGTACCAGGCACACACATGGTATACAGTCATCCAAATACCCATGCACATAAAATACATGAGTCTTGTTTTAATGTGTTTATCAGCTTTCTGTGAAACCAGCATTAAAAAAAACTACATTATTGCTTTTCTAAATTAGGTAAACATGTAAATTAAAGACCATTAACAAATGACAAATCTGACAGATTTAGTACATTTCAGAATTATTCTTAAAGTTGAGGACACTGAAGTAGCAAATTATGAAAACTGTCCAAGACTTGCAGTCGTACCTTGTGACTAAAATGGCTTCTCACACAGTTATCACAGGAGCCTGCCCATTCTTCATAACCAGCAAATCACACAGGACGGCCAAACTCCTAACACCACACAATCTTACAGGTTTTCCTTCCTGGCCTCTTCTAACTTCTTTTAATGCCACTTGTACTAGTCAGCTTTAACTATCAATTTTACATAGTCCAGAGTCAACTGAGAAGGGAGCCTGAGCTGAGGGATTGCCCAGATCACACTGGCCTATTGCCATATTTGCAGGGAATTGTCTTGATTATTAACTGATGTAGGATGGTCCAGCCCACAGTGGGCACCACTATTCCCTGGGAATGTTGCCTTGGGCTATATATAAAAGAAAGACAGTTACCAAGAACCTGTGAATGAACACTCTTCCATGGTTCCTGCAACTCGAGTTCCAGGGGATCTGATATCCTGATAACTTCTTCTGACTTTCATATGTACCAAGCATACATGTGGTGCAAATACATACATTCGGGAAAAACACTTACACATAAAAAAAAATAAATCTAATTTAAATTTTTTACCTTTGAAAAATTAGGAAACAAAAATTGGCAAAAGAAAATTTTAAGAAACATTGCTTTCTCTAATAATTGATAATCATATAGCAATAAACACAAGTACCAAAAATTCAAATAGTTTGATTTCTATTTCAAGAAATACTTAAGGGCTGGTGAGATGGCTCAGCAGGAAAGACCCTTGCAAGGAAGCCTGATGACCTGAGTTCAGCCCCCAGGACATACAAGATGGAAAAGGGGAACAGATTTCCAAAAGCTGTCCTCTGACCGCCACGTGCACACTATGATAGGTGTGTTGACATGCAAATATGCACACATGTACATACACAAAATAAAATTTTTTTAAAAACTTATCTAAAATACTTCTATTTTTACTTAAAGTTACAAGAGAATTCTGAGGTGACACAGCAATAATAGTGTTAGCAATGTTTCTGAAGAGGCTTCCAGCTTTCAACAGTGATTTAACACTGGGGCCAGCAACACTCATGTTCTTACCCCCCAAAGAACTAAGCACCACACACACTAGCACAGGCTATGTTCAATCACTTACTTTACCAAGTAAAGTTGTAACTGAACCAGCCAAGTCATGAGCCCTGAATGACTGAGAAACAGAAAAACCCAAGTCAGCAACTGTACAATACAGATTTAAGACACTAAAAATAAAAATACCTTTCCTCCTTGTCCAGAGTCTTCTTCTCTGCTGTAGTGATTTTTTTGGGTGGCACAGGAGGAGTTACTTTTCTGCATATCTCTTCAATGATGCGTTTGTTCATTCTGCTTTGCATTGCAGATTTTAGCAAAATTCTTTCTACTGCAGTTATACCATCCCCATGATTGTATTTAGGAATTTCTGGTTGTATTAAAACTTCTATGTCATCAAGCCATGGAGGATAGTAAGAGTTTTGCTTTCCTGAGAGTTTGTGGTGAAGTTTGATTAGCAAAGACAATATGCTTTCCTTAATTTCCAAAATGGCTGTGGTTAACGGGGGAGAGGAACCAGGAGCTGACCATTTCTTTGGAGTGTAGGGTGGCCGGATCACCTGATTTGCTTCACTGCTGCTTCTATTGATGATCTCCTGAAATTTCTTTCTGCGCTCTGCTACTAAACTGAAAACTTGAGCTGTACCGGAATTCTACCAGTAAAGATAAGAAAACAGAGAAAAGAATTACTCAATACCAATTCTACTGTATTTTTCTGTATTTTTCCAAAGATCTCTCCAGCAGATAAACGTGTTTCTTCCATTTCTTTCTCAAATAGATACAGCACTGCTTTAAAAGGGACAGTGATGAGGAAAAGGAGGTCACCAGTCACCTCAGTGTAACCGCCTGACTCTATGTTCCACAAAAAAACAAACAAAGCTTGTGCCACACCTGCAGCCATATTACCAAAACAAAAAACCTATAAACTAAGTTTCTCAATAAGGAAGATTCTGTATTATCCACCAGCCATCAAGAAATTCTTTATTCACGTCAGAAAGCCTGCTACAGCTTTCACATAAGAAAAGTTGCTTTTCTTTTTCTTTTCTTTGTGTTATTTTTTGTTTTTGCCTTTTTGTTTGTTGAGACAGGGTTTCTCTGTGTAGCCCTGCCTATCCTTGAACCCACAGAGATCTACCTGACTCTGCCACCTGGGTATTGGGATTTAAGGCATGCGCCACTACCGTCTGGCTTTCTTCATATTTTTTTAAGACAGTAAATCTATAGTGAAAATTAATTTCAGAAAATTACAGATTTCAAGTTATAAAACTGAAATGTAAGGATAAAGGAATGAATTAATTTGCTTCAAACAGCATATCACCATATGTTATCTGAATAGACATTTTTAGTCAAGTGTTCATCTCAATAATTTGTCTCTTAAACAGCCTTTTTGCTAAAGCAAACACACATCAGGCCTCTTAGAAATCATCTTTTAATGAAGTTATCAGTTTAATGAATTTTGTTCAATTTTCTAAAATGAGCATTAAAAGTATGCTTTTCTAAGTCAAATTATAGTATTCAATGTTTTTTTTTACATCCAAGATTTTAAAAGTATTTTGTAACATTAGAAGCAAAAGAGCTTCACACAGAGGTTTCAAGTTTTTAATTAAAACCTTTATAGTATTCACAACAAAAACATGTTGCTAAAAGCAAAAAATAGATGAACAAATAGACTTGACACAAAAAACCATTGAATTCAGCTCTCTCTCTCCATTCACAGGACACCTAGTTTGCAGGAAAATACTACTTAATTATTTGGCATGTCATATGCTATGGTTGCTATGGCTGTATGCAGGTCTGGTGCTTGGGACTGGAGTCACAGGCACTGTGAGTAGTCAAGTGGGTGTTGGTATTGAGCCCAGGTCCCTGGAAGGGACACTAGTGCTCTTAACTGCTGCGCCATCTCTCCAGACCCACTTCTCATTTTATTTTTAAAGATTAATTAAGCATCATGCAAAGAGCTGCTTTTCACAATGAGTTCCCAAACACAAGATACAGGATACAAATATTTATGGGCCTGTTTCAGTTAATTGTCACAAAAGCGCCCCCTTTAAAAAAAAAACCCACAATCTTTTGATGGCCATGCTGCCAGCATTGCATTTGTTTTGGCTTAGGGAACAGTCTAGTCAGTCATCTGTAAGGGGTTAGTAAAACAGCTGCAGGGCTAATGGAAGCAGAGCCAAGTGGGCCACTTGTCGCTGGTCCAGAATACTTTTAACACTAGCAAGAAAACTTTGCTACTAACCACTCTGCATTTTTAATCAGTAACATAAACTTATTTGAAATTAAATATAAATAACTTTATTAAAAGTAAAAAATATTAAAGAAATGTTTTAAATTTTATTATATTAATCATATACACACACACACACACACACACATACTCTAGTGGGTTTTTTTCCCCCTCATTTCCAATTAGTCAGGCTGCTAGTTAATACAAACATCATACACATCTACCTCTCTTTGAAGAACTTTAGGCCGTCGGGAATTCTATAGCAGGTTAAAGGAAAAAGACTGGTTAAGCAACAATATTTAGACATATCAGAAAATAGATGACAACTTCCAGCGTTTCCTTCTGAATGCCATAGATTATCTATGCAATATCTCAGCATAATGTAAACCATTCCCTTTCCATTTCCCTCACTTTTAAACTTACTTGTAAAGAGCCCAGATCATCAGAGCTCGTGCCGGCAAGTGAGTCCCTTTTCAACTCAGGAGCAGTCACTGGGACTCGCACTCTGACATAATTTATAAAGTGTCGCATATTTGATACCAAGTTACTTCCAGGGAACCAACTGTCATGACAACGTTCTGGTCCACCCATTGATACCTAAGACATAAATAGAGAGATGATAGATAGATAGATGGATGATGGATGGATGGATGGATGGATGGATGGATGGATGGATGGATGGCAGGCATAAATAAATATGTGTACACCAGAAACTTGTCACTTCGAGTCTGAGATACAATGAAGTTCTAACTCAGTGAATGCTTCTTCATAATTGATGTTCTCACCATAATACCAAAAAATACACAAACAGCTTTTCTTAATGTTTTTCATTTGAATACTAAATCTTCAATTTCAACAGTTCCATATAGAGAGGAAAGCTTCAAAGGACCATATACATTTTAAGAATAAAGGCTTTTTTAGGCCGGAGAGTTGGCTCAGCAGGTACACTATCTGCTAAGCCCTACAATCTAAGTTAAACCACCAGGTCCCATATAGCAGAAGGAAAGAACCAAATCCTGCAAGCTGTCCTCCACCTGCACATGTGCATTGTGGCGTACACCCCACCCAGATGCTAAATAAATAGATGAATAGGACCATCTTGTCAGGTCTTCAAATTAAGAATTAAGAGCACTGGCTGCTCTTCCAGAGTTCCTGAGTTCAATTCCCAGCAACCACATGGAGGTTCACAACCATCTATGATGAGATCTGGTGCCCTCTTCTGGTGTGCAGGCGTACATGCAGATAGAACACTGCATACAAAATAAATAAACAAATAAATAAATTAACTAACTAACTAATTAAACTAAAAGCTAGAGAGATAGCTCAGTGGTTAAGAGCACCATCTGCTCTCCCAGAAAACTTGGGTTCAATTCCCAACACATTTTAGCAGCTCACGACCATCTCTAACTCCAGTTCTGGGGAACCTGATGCCCTCTTCTAGCCTCCATGGGCACTGCATGTAAGTGATGCATGGATAAAGATGCAGGCAAATGTCCATATACATAACAAAGATAATGTTAGCCTAGTAGTGGCAATGCATGTCTTTAATTCCAACAGGCAGCTGGATCTCTGTGAGTTCAAGGCCAGCCTGGTCTACAGAGTGAGTTCCAGGACAGCCAGAGCTACCCAGAGAAACCTGTCTTGAAAAACCAAAATAGAAAAAAAAAAAAATCCAAATTACACTTCTTGAAAAGAACTGCCTGATGGCAGACAGAGGTTGCTTCCTCTTAAATGTTCTAAGACAGAGGCAGTGCTTACCTCTTCCTCAGAATCATCCTCAGCAGAGTTTTCCAAACCTAATTCAATCAGATACAACACCATGCACAGTACATGTTCCGACAGATTTTGATGATCCATTAGAATCTTGAAAAAAAGAAGAAAACACCTCATAATTAACTTTTTCACATTATATATTGCAGTTGAAGAGATGAAAACAATCTATTATAAACAAAAATCACAAAAATTATCAGATATAAAAATGAAATCTTAGTGAAAATACAGTCTAAAACACTAGGTTTCCTCTGAGATTATATAGAACTTTTGCTAGATTTATTTTTAATGATGTGCATGGGGTGTGTATGCACATAACTGCAGATATTCCCATCGGTCAGAGTCATATATTGAATCCTAGGAGGCTGGAGTCACAGGTGGTATGAGCTGTACAATGCGGGTGCTGGAAACTCAGCATCCTCTGCAAGAGCAGATATGCTCTTAACCACAGAGCCAAATGCCCAGGCCTACATGGGAATATTATGCAGTATCTGGAAATAGCAGTTTGAAGACTTCCTAAATAAAGAGTACTACATTTAACAGACAAAAAAGTCACTAATATAAATAAAAAAAAATTACCAAGAACACTTTACATTATAATCTCCTGATACTCTCCTGAAGGCAGGGTGCCAAATAATGAGTTAGCCAACTAGCATCACTCATTTAAATGCAACTGTACTTGGCTAACAGCTGAAATCCAATATGAATCATTAGTATTAATTCTGTCTTTAACGTTCTCGGCCTCTAAATTTTGTATGTGACTATATAAATATGTAAGTCAGTGCATGTTTTACATGGTAAGAATGGAAAAAGGAAAACGCAATGAACCTTACCTTGTACATAGATCACACAACTCAAGCCTTACTCATTTTCTACAGGATGTAAGGATTGTGATAGGCCAGTGATTCGTCTAAAGATATCTAAACTAAGACAGGAACAAGATGGCACGGCAGCTTGTCCTCATTATAAGTAGGCAGGTGACCAAACGAGGGGAAGGACAGAAGAAAGGATTCAGTGAGGAAGTGGCCCTGTCAGCTGAAAAGGATGGTAAGTAAGCTGAGCCTCACAAGAACGGTCCAAACGAGGGGACAAGGGAAAAAAAACAATTCTTTGTAACTTAAGAGTGTAGACATGCACTGACAGATTTCCTACTATTTTTGACAAACAGGAGGGTGTCTCCATTGTCTCTTGTAAAACCTCACCCTTAAGTCTGTTTGTACCTACTGCAGCAACAATCTTTGGCCTCAGTTTTCCCATACCTAAAGGCAAAGAAGCCCAGAATTCTCTGAGACTGGGTTCCCTTGGCATCTGTCACTTGCTTACAACAGTGCCTACAGCTGGAGTCCCAACAAACAGCAGGCAGATGGTGCCAAGAGTGTGAAGAGTAGAGGAGGCCACGGAGGAGCCTAAGAGCAGGAGTTCCAGAGGTCACCCTTTCTAGCCCATCGCATCATGGAGGGAAATCAAGGCTCACACCAAAGTCAGTTGTCTAAGCAGCACTACACACAGCTCTCAGCCGCCCGCCCAGGCTGACGCCTGCCATTTCTGTCTCCTCTCGATAAGAAAGCATTACTGTCTAAATCCAAAGAAATTTTGAATTGAAATAGGTGGTATTACAGATTAAACGCTAAAGATCTTGAACAAAACATTGAAGACATTTTCTGGGAAGTGTCACCATGTTCTTTAGCATCACCCATGGCGAAGAACGATGGTGGCTCACTGCAAGCGCCTTCTGTAAAGTTGACTCGGCAAAGCGCGACAACTAAGTGCATCAGAAAAGCTGTTATAAACGAATGTGAAATTTCAAAAAACTAGTCATTAGAGGCTTCAAACAACCAAAACACTCATCTTTCATCTCTGATTAAATTCTTCCTAGATTAAGCAAATGTTAAAAGTTGAAAAAGAGTAACTTAGAAGAGATTTCCAGTAAGGCTTTCTTCATTTATCACGAGTTCTTAGCTATTATTGAAAACAGTGCACAGGTTGTCTGAACTAGTTGTCTAACCTCGAAAACTTCATCCTCTCATTAAAAACTGAGAATAATACAGAACTAACTGACAGACTACAATGTCTGTGGTATACAGAATCAGTAACAGAGAAAAGCCTTGTTCTGAGGAATCCTACAAATTACATTTGCCTACAAAATCAACACAAAAGAAAAGCGATTCTACATATTTTAATGGAAAAGGGGGTACTTTAAATAATTTTTCTGAATAATCCCTTTGATAAATAATAAAAATGAAACTTTCCAAGCATTTTTTGAAGGCACTGATCTAAAATCTTGGCAAAAAAAAAAAAAATTCCTTTTTTTTGTTTGTTTGTTTTTTGATTTTCGAGACAGGGTTTCTCTGTAGCTTTTGGTTCCTGTCCTGGAACTAGCTCTTGTAAACCAGGCTGGCCTCGAACTCACGGAGATTCGCCTGCCTCTGCCTCCCGAGTGCTGGGATTAAAGGCGTGCGCCACCACCGCCTGGCATAACTTCCAATTTTTATAAGTAAAAATGAAAAAATGACCACAGGTGATATTAGAAAGACATCAATAACAGATTCAATGCAGTGCCCAGCAAAATTCTTCAAAGACCTCAAAAGAACTGTACTCAACTTCATAAGGAAAAGCAAAAGACCCAGAATAGCCAAAACAACCCTGTACAACAAAGGAACTTCTGGAGGCATCACAATCCTGACTTCAAACTCTACTACAGAGCTACAATAATGAAAACAGCCTGGTACTGACTGGCATAAGTACAGACAGGAGGATCAATGGAACAAAATAGAAGACCCAGATATCAATCCACACATCTTTGAACACCTGATTTTTGACAAAGAAGCAAAAAATATCAAATGGAAAAAAGAAAGCATATTTAACAAGTGGTGCTGGCATAACTGGATATCAACGTGTAGAAGAATGAAAATAGACCCCTATCTATCACCATGCACAAAACTCAGGTCCAAATGGATCAAAGACCTCAACATAAAGCCAGCCACACTGAACCTTAGAGAAGAGAAAGTGGGAAGTACACTTGAATGCATTGACACAGGGAACCACTTCCTAAATATAACCCCAGAAGCACAGACACTGAGAGAAACAATAAATGGGACCTCCTGAAACTGAAAAGCTTCTGTAAAGCAAAGGAGATGGTCAATAAGACAAAATGACAACCTACAGAATGGGAAAAGATTCTAACCCCATATCAGACAGAGGTCTTATCTCCAAAATATAAAGAACTCAAGAAACTGATCATCAAAAGAACAAATAATCCAATAAAAAAAATGAAGTGCATACCTAAACAGAGAACTCTCAACAGAAGAATCTAAAATAGCTGAAAGACACTTACGGAAATGTTCAACATCCTTAGTCATCAGAGAAATGTCAATCAAAACAACTCTGAGATCCCATCTTATACCTGTAAGAATGGCCAAGATCAAAAAACACCGATGACAACTTATGCTGGAGAGGTTGTGGGATAAAGAGAACACTTCTGCATTGCTGGTGGAAATGCAAGCTGGTACAGCCTCTTTGGATGTCAGTGTGGCGAGTTCTCAGAAAATTAGGAAACAACCATCCTCAAGACCCAGTAATACCACTTTTGGGTATATATCCAAAGGATGCTCAATCATGCTACAAGGACATGTGCTCAACTATGTTTACAGCAGTTTTGTTTGTTATAGCCAGAACGTGGAAACAACCTAAATGCCCCTTGACTGAAGAATAGATGGGGAAAATGTGGTACATTTACACAATGGAGTACTACACAGCAGAAAAAAATA